CTAGAGAGAGGCTCAGTCATTAAGAGCACTGGCTGTCTTCCAGAGGACTTGTTCCATCCCACAGCACCCCCATGGAGAAGCATAGCTATAGGTAACTCCAGCCCCAGGGGATCTGATACCTTCTTCTGGCCTCCTTGGGTACCAGGCATGCAAGAGATCCACAGACATACATGCAGATAAAACACCCACATAAACAAAGTTAAAAAACACAGAGAGATGAATTCTTCCCTCTCTCTCTCAGTCAAGCCAGTTGTATTTGCGTTTAGAGGAATTCTTTCCTTGACCAGCAGGCAGGCAGGTGAAGCTGTTTGAGCCTCACCTGAGAGCCAAGAGGAGGGGCTGGTTTTGTGTATCTATGGTACCGCAAGTCCCCCATCTGGCCCTGAAGTCTCCAGACTTCAAGCTGAAACAAGGCAGCTTTATCTGGAGCATTTGACTTTATTTCCTTTTTAAAAGATTTGTTTATTTGTTTATTTATTTAATGTATGTGAGTACACTGCCACTCTCTTCAGACACACCAGAAGAGGGCATCGGATCCCATTACAGACGGTTGTGAGCCACCATGTGTTTGCTGGGAATTGAACTCAGGACCTCTGGAAGAGCAGTCAGTGCTCTTAACTGCTGAGTCATCTCTCCGGCCCTAACTTTATGATAAAGGTTCTTTTCCTCCTTCCAGCTGGTTCAGTCAGTAAAATAGGTAGGTACAAACCAGGCTATTCCCCAACCTCCTAGCTTAAAAAGCCTTCAGCAACTTCCTGTCATAGTGGGCGGGTTATGCTTTTTTTTTTTAACGCTTTCTCTTTTTATACATTTTTATTTCATTTTGCCCCGATGTATGTCTGTGCGCCACGTGTAATCTTTGTGTCAGCGGAAGCTGGATCCCTGGAAGAGTTACAACTATTGTGAGCTGCCGCCTGGGAACTGCATGGAACCTGGGTCCTCTGGAACAGCGGCCAGTGTGCTTAGCCGCTAAACCAGCTCTCCAATGAGTACTCCCGCAGCGCCCCCAAGGCCCTCCTGGCCCGGTTTTAGTTTTAATTTTTTATTTTGATCTCTCTTTTTTTTTTTAAACACAGGTGTAATGGTTTGTATATCCTTGGCCCAGGGACTAGAACTCTTAGACGAGGTCTTGTTGGAGTGGGTGTGGCTTGTTAGAGTGGGTGTGGCTTGTTAGAGTGGGTGTGGCCTTATTGGAGTATGTGTGTCACTGTGGGCGTGGGCTTTAAGACCCTCACGCTAGCTGCCTGGAAGTCAGTCTTCTCCTAGCTGCCTTCAGATGAAGATGTAGAACTCTCAGCTCCTCCTGCACCATGCCTGCCTGGATGCTGCCATGGTCTCGCCTTGATAATGGACTGAACTTCTGAACCTGTAAACTCGCCTCAATTAAATGTTGTCATTATAACAGTTGCCTTGGTCATGGTGTCTCTTCACACCAGTAAAATCCTAATTAAGACAGAAGTTGGTACCAGGGACTAGGGTATTGCTGTGATAGGCCTGATGCTTTCATTTGGAAGAATGTGGATTTTGGGACTTTGGATTTGGAAAGCCATGGAATGCTTTAAATGGGGCAAGATCCCACCTAGCTAAATGTAGGTCCAGGCATGGTAGTACAAGCCTTTAATCCCAGGAGGCAAAGACAAACAGATCTCTGAGCTCAAGGCTAGCCTAGAACAGAGCAAGTTCTAGGTGAAGAAAAACTTAAGCCGGGCGGTGGTGGTGCACGCCTTTAACCCCAGCACTTGGGAGGCAGAGGCAGGTGGATTTCTGAGTTCGAGGCCAGCCTGGTCTACAGAGTGAGTTCCAGGACAGCCTGGGCTACACAGAGAAACCCTGTCTCGAAAAACCAAAAAAAAAAAAAAAACCAACAACAACAAAAAACTTAAATCCAGGCTTGGTGGAACATACCTTTTTTTGTTTGTTTGTTTGGTTGGTTGGTTGGTTTTTCGAGACCGGGTTTCTCTCTGTAGCCCTGGCTGTCCTGGAACTCACTCTGTAGACCAGGCTAGCCTTGAACTCTCGAACTCAGAAATCTGCCTGCCTCTGCCTCCCAAGTGCTGGGATTAAAGGTGTGTGCCACCACCACCTGGCGGATTGAAATTTTAGTATGTAAGAGTTTGTAAAGACTGTGGGACTTTTAAAGTTAGATTTTGGGGATGAATAAGAAAGTAAGGGTTGAGGCTGAATAGTGACGTGTTTATGTGTCAAGTTGACAAGGAGTCAGTTGTACTGGCTGGTTTTGTGTGTCAACTTGACCCAAGCTGGAGTTATCACAGAGAAAGGAGCCTCCCTTGAGGAAATGCTTCCATGAGATCCAGCTGTAAGGCATTTTCTCGATCAGTGATCAAGGGTGGGTGGGACCATTGTGGGTGGTGCCATCCTGGGCTGGTAGTCTTGGGCTCCATAAGAAAGCAAGCTGAGGAAGCCACTAAGTAACATCTCTCCATGGCTTCTGCATTAGCTCCTGCTTCCTGACCTGCTTGAGTTCCAGTCCTGACTTCCTTTGGTGATGAACAGCAATGTGGAAGTGTAAGCCAAATAAATAAACCCTTTCCTCCCCAACTTGCTTCTTGGTCATGATGTTTTGTGTAGGAACAGAAACCCTGACTGATACACACACACACACACACACACACACACACACTTTTCTCTTTTTTTCTTCTTTTTTCCCCAGTCGGGGTCTCTCCGTGTAGCCCTGGCTGTCCTGGAACTCCCCCTGTAGGCCAGACTGGCCTCAGTCTCAGAGATCTGCCTGCCTCTGCTTCCTGAGGCATGTGCCATCACTGCCTGGCTCACAATCTTTTATTTTAGCTTATCAGGGAAGTAGAGAGAAAATCAGAAAGAGCAGAGAACAGCTGAGCCTGAATCGTCACACCTGACTGACTGGGCATTTCCTTCTATGAGACAACAGACACAGAGCTACTGTTGAAGTCTACGTAACTACCAAACAGAGCGGTGCCATTCACCTGTCTTCTGACCATGCCATCTGTCTCAAATCTGCTGAGTTCCGAGTCAGCAGCTCTCCCAGGCCTCATCTCTAGACCTGAACACCAAGCCCCGGGGCTGGCAGGGTCTCAAACAGGTGCCTTTTTGTGAATGACTTTGTCATCCTACTTTTGGCATGAGCCATGGAGCCTCTGAGAGGAGGAAACTGAGGCAGCACACTCGTGCTCATGAATGTATTCACTGGAGCACAGGTCAGGGGCTGAGCATGTAGCTTAGCTGGTCAGAGTGCTTGTCTATCGTGCACAAAGCCCTGGGTTGGATTCCCCAGTCCCCTCTATAATGGAGTGTGCTGGTACACACCTGTAATTCCAGTACTTGGGGGGTGGGTAGAGGCAGAAGGACATGGTTTAAGGTCATCCTTTGCTACATAGTAGGTTTGAGGTTCTCTTGGCTTCTCTCAGAAACCAAAGTTAAAACTGGAGTGGCACATTTGTGGGCCACGGGGTTGTGGTGAGGAGGGTGTCTGCAGACGTCCCCTTCTCAGAGCTTATGAGTAGAAGGTCAAGAGCAATGTGGCCAGGCCCAGTGGCCTTCAGTCCCAGCACTCGGAAGGCAGAGGCAGGAGGATCTCTGTTAGTTTGAGGTCAACCTGATCTACAAGGCGAGCTCTAGGACAGTCAGGATTACACAGAGAGACCCTGTCTTGAAAAAAAAAAAAAACAACAATAAAACATCCTAAGCAAGATCCAGGAGTGGATTGTAGGATGTGTGACAAGTGGTCAGGCCTGAGGACAGGAAAAGGAAATGGCACAGGAAGAGGAGGCAGCTAGGAATTTGATATAGTCACAGAAGGCTAGGGTTACATTTGTATAAAGATCTGAAGGAAATTACAAAAAGCCAGGAAGGTGAGCTAAGCAGTGGGGGGCGCATGCTGGCCTTTAATCCCAGGATTTAGAGGCAGTGGCAGGGAAATCTTACCCTGGAATGCACACACACCACACAGAATAAATGTAATGAAAGAATTAAAGAGACCGTACCCCATACAAACCAAGCAAACAAGTAGATTATACTTCGTAACCCCTCTTACAGTTTGGTGTGGCCATAGGACCCAGTTCCAGAAGCTTCTAAACATGAGTCTGAAAGAAGTCACCAGCTTCTGGCAAAGCCTGCACTGACCTGGCTAGCCATGCTCACCTTGACTCATTTTCTGTATATGTGTGCATATGAACACGCATGTGTAGGACAGAGATCCACACTTCCTCCATGGATCTCCACCTAATCTTTTACACTGAGACAGGTTCTCATTGGAGGCAGCACTCACTGGTTAGTCTGGTAAGCCAGTGAGCTTTGGGGACTGGCCTGTCTCCCCCCTGCTGCATGCCATGCATCCGAATAGATGGGTCCTGGGGACCTGTTCCAGTCTCATGCTTGTGAGGCTGGCACTTTACCAATGGAGCCATCTCCTCAGCCCTGGGATCTTCCTCACTTTACACAGGAAGAAACTTGACAAGTCTATTCCGTGGCAAAGCTGGGCTGTACCCAGCAGCCTGGCTCCAGAGCAGTGGCTCTCAGCCTCCCTCATGCTGTGTGACCTTTGACTACAGTTCACGTGGTGACCCCAACCTATAGCATTATGTTACTTCATAACTGCTATTTTGCTACTGCTATGAACCGTAATGTAAGTATGTGTTTGCTGGTGACTTTAGGCAACCCCTGTGGAAGGGTGGGTCGTTTGGCCCTAAAGGGGTTGAGACTCACAAGCGTCTATTCAGGAACTCACTTTGTTGACAAGGCTGGCCTTGGATTCAGAGATCTGTTTGGCTCTAGAGGCCAGCTTTAACCACTGTACCCCACTGCCGGGGTCGTCCCTCTTACAGCTGCAGAGACATCTCCAGCAACCTGGAAGTCAAGTTTCACAGCTGTGTTCATCCCTTCTGGGTTCAGGTTCATAGGCGATGCTGCTCTAATACAGGGGCAGAAGTAACTTAAAGGCCAGGGAGTCGGAAACAAAGACTGAAGGAAGTAGCCATCTTAAGTTAGAAGAAGCAGACCAAATGAAAGTCTTATGATAAAAACTTTATTATCTTAAATATCAAAGGTTTTACACATCACGTTTTCTTCAGAAAGTTCCTATTAAAGAAGAAAAATAAAAATAAAATAAAGTGTTTGGATTATTCAGGGCTGACTTACATTTCAAAATATGACAAGGAACAAAACAAAAAATCAAACTCAAAGGCATCTAGTGCGTTCAGCTGCAGACAGTCCTAACCAGCACACAAAGCAATGGACTTTGGGATTCCTGAGTGCAGCTTCTCAGTTCTCAGTTTCCCCAACTCTCAAAGCATCTGGGCATGCCTGGGCGGGCCACTGGCAAGCAGATGTTGCTAACTAGACTGGATACCAAAAGATGAAGTAGTGTCAAAGCTTAAAGAGAAGCCAGAAACCCTCATGACTCGGGCAACTGCAGAGGGAGGGCTTCCTAGTTACGATCTGCCATCTGCGGCTAGAAAGCCAGGGGACCTTTACTTGGGGATGAAGCCATTGGGCCCAGCTTGCCATGAAGAAATCTGGATACAAATGTACTATTCGTTTCCCATGGAAGGTACACATAGAGACTCCCTCCGAAGTCTCGCCAGAACGAATGGACGCCCAGGGGAGCCAGGGGCGAGAACACAAGCCTCGGTACTCGGGTGAGAGAGTGAGGCCACATGTCTTCCGGGCTGTAAGGACTGCGTGAGGAGCCTCTCAACACACATCTGGCTGGCTCCTGTAGGAACACAGGTCTATTCTGCAGGTCACAGACACACTCATTCAGGTTTGCAGGATTCCACCAACCAAACTTGTAAGTACAATCACTGCCCATCACCTTGACAGGGAGAAGGGGGAAACGTCCCTTATCCAAGTTAGCCAATCAAAACCTTCTTCAGTTGCTTACTCAGACACAGCTTTGTAAGAAGCAATCTGATCTCATGTTCCTCGCCTTCTCCTGATTTGGGGTTCAAACTTTGCAGGTAAACAGACTTCCGTGCTGAACCTTTTTTTTTTTTCTTGGTAAATTGGTCCTAGATGGTGTCCTAAAACTTAGCAGCCCTCTCCCCCGTTTCACAAGCCCCTGACCCCGAATCTAATTACTGATCAACTTTTAAGCGTATTTCCTAACTGAAATCACTAAGAACCTATTTTCTTTCTATGCTTCAGGAATGCACACACCTGGCTATCTTAAACGGAGGACTGAAGAAGGTCTTGCGGAGCTGGCAGAGTTCTGCAGAGCAGTCCTGTCTGCCCGCCCCAACATCGATCACTTCTGCTCCGGATTGTCTTGTCCACATACTGCACATCCTGCAGAGGCCTCGGCTGAGTTCTGCTCTCCGGAGGGTGGCGGGGACACACCTATCTTAGCGCTACATGCGGCGATCCTGCATGCTGAAGGGAAACACCCCTCCTCTCCTCACCAGGGTGATTCCATTCTGCCTGTCCCTTTCCGCTCCATAGCTTTACACCTCAACTCACCAGCGTCTTTTCAGTTATTTCTACTAAATCTTTTTATTTAAAATTCTTTTTTTTCTGCGCAGTGTTGGGGGTCAAACCCAGGGCCTTGTACATGTCAGGGAAGTGTTCTGCTACCACTGAGCTATGCCAGTAATCCTCCACCCACTCTTCTGGAGGCAGGGTTGCATATAACCCCAGCTGACCTGAAACTCACTATGTAGTCAAGAATGACCTGAACTTCTGATCCTCTCCCGTCTACAGCGCTGGGCTCACATGCTTGCCACACCTGGCTTACGCAGGGCTGGGGGCTGGACTGAGGGCTTCCGGCAGCTAGTCAAGCCATCGGCCTACCACTGTGCTATTTCCTTACACCCTCAACTGTTTTCATTTTTATTTAAGACAGTTCCTCTCTGTAGCCCTGACTGGCCTTGCACTTATAGTTTAAAAGTGTGTGCCAACACACCAGCCCCCAATTGTTTAAATTAAACTAAACTAAAACTAAACACTTTAAAGTAAAACTCTAGGTTTATGGTGTTGAATTCCATCATGGGCCTGATTTTTCCCCCTAGTCAGTTCTAAACTGCAACAAATGAAAGCATGCCACTCAGACATTATAGAGTGTGCCTATAACTTCATAAACCCAGCACTTAAGGATTGCTAGTTCAAGGCCAGCTTGGGCTGTAAGAGATCTCCTCAAAAACAAAAGCATGCTGGGGTAGGGGTGGAGTAGCATGGTAATAGGTAAAAACAGATCTCAGTTAAAACTTGCCCCATATCTCCCCCGGACTGAAGGCTTCTAAGGCCAGGCTCCTGTCTGGTTTAGCTGCTGCTGACCTCCTGGGCTTCAGGGGTACCCCAAGTCTGATGAACAAACCAACGACTTCTTGCTCCCACTGCATTGCTCTGAAGCTAGCTCCTCCCATCACAGCACAAAAGATGCAACAGGAAACTGAAGAAACTTCTAGAAACCATTTTTGGTATACAGGATGCAGAAAGTCCTATCCCAGGAAACCTAATGTTTGAAGCAGTAAGAGTGAATCAAAGAGGTAAGGAGCCAAGGACCACACCAGGTGGCAGTCCTCTCCAGGAGGGCTGCCCGCTAACCTTTTCCCCAAGATGTGATGCTTCTGCTATTCAAAAAAATTAAGGCACGAAAGAAAAGCAAGTACATCAAAGGCTCACCCCAAAGTCCTTACTGTGACTCTACCAACACTTGGGGAGTCAGGTAATTTATGGGGGCTCAGTGCCAGCCCTGAGGGGATGCAGGAAACACCAAACTCGGTTCTAGTCAGCCACAGATTGGCTTTTACTTTTATTTTTTGGTGGTAAGGATCAAACCTAGGACCTCGAATGCTATGCAGGCGTTCCACCAAACCATGCCCCTCAGCCCCTTGGCACTGCTAGTGACACACCAGCCACGTCAGCCACATTGTCTATTCTCACCAGAGGCAGCAACTGGAACTCGCTGGGTGAACTGGGCATAGGTGTGTGCGCCTGCAATCCTAGGATTCTAAAGGCTGAGGCTGGAAAATTGCCATGAGTTTGAGGCCATCCTGGGCTATGGCGAGATCCTGTCTCAAAAAAAAAAAGTAAACAAAAAACAAAAAAGAAAAGTTGCCTTGACACTCTTGTACTGCTATTTGCAAGGCAGTTTATTATATACACAATAGGAAGAAAAGCCACCGGACGTGCAGGTCTCTGTAGACATAAAAGCTGCTTTTCAACCTATGTAAAATACTTATCAATAACCTTAAACTTGAGATAGCTTAGTATTTATTTATAGACATGAGCTGAAAAGTTGAAACAAATTCTTATGGCTTTTGCTAGAGATAGAAAGCTGTAGAGAGGGACAAACAGGCAGATGCCATACAAGCTAGACATAAAATCCACACCAGGGCCCCTACCTCATTCCTAGGGACCCTCTTGTTAAAGAAATGTTTTGGGTAGACACCTTGGGCTGTGTCCCCCCTCTCCTACATCTAGAGATGATCAGAAGGCGTAGGCTTCAAGGCAGAAGTTCTCACACACCACTGACCACTTACTAAAGCGTCCTTTGCCAAGTACCTACTTTCATCTTCACCTGTCAACATCTGAGGCTCAGCTCGCCAGACAAAGGCTTTTACTGCTGCAAAGGGCTGAACTAACACATCTGGAAACAGCCTTTCACAGAATCAAAGGGCTGTATCTCCAGCCCTTCAGCTTGAGCGTGGGGTTTGTAAGAAAATCCTTCGGTGCATAAATGGAGAGCACTGCTGGAGGTAAGCGGCCACCACAGAATCCCGAAAACAGTCTGGCCAAGGAGCTACCCCTTGCTGTTACCGTTGTGACCTGACAGGCTTACCACTAGGTCTTACAACAATGTGACTAAGTGGAAACTGACTGATGTACCACTGGGTTGTTCCTCAAGGTCCTCTGTTCTAGAATTGTCCAGTTTAAGCCAATCAATTCCTAACATCATCTAAACTTCAGACAAAAGATTTTTCTTTTTAATTTACTGTTTAAAAGACAGGGTCTCACTAATGTAGCTCTGGCAGGCCTTGAACTCAGACATCCACCTGCCTTCTAGAATGAAAGGTATGTCAGCTTGCCTGGCCTTTGATTTTATTTATTTTTGACAGATCTTAAAAATCAAAAGCAACTATTGTTGCAAAGAAAATAACAACCAAAGGAACAAAGTATTTGGCAAGTGAGTCAAGCTCCAAGAGTTCCTAAGAACACCTATCAGGCTGCCTCTAAGAATAAACATAGAAGTACATACATTAAACGCTACTGTAGTGAAATCTTTTCCAGACTGGTATTCCACACTCCAGCTAGGGCCACCTTGCACACACCCACAGCATAGACACTGTGGACATGCCAGAGTTGGCATGCCGAGTTCTGCTCACACAGGCTTTCTGGGAGGAGTCTGTCAGCAGTACTTTCTTCTATCCACCCCACCCTGTGGCCCCAAAGATTTGTGACCCCAAAATTCACCCCCACCTCGCCACCTCTCAAGCCAATACCTGGCTTCCCTGCACTGCCTGCTCGTGCCCCAGGCACTGCTCTAAGCTGGGTGGCAGAGTGCTGTGGAGCAGTCGCCTGGTGAATCACACATACATCTTTGGTGTAGGACAGGCAAAAGATGGACAGGCCATGCTCATCGGAAACAAAGAATTTCTCAAAGACAGCTCAGCTAGTCTGGTGTTCTGAGGACCCGAAGGAGAGCAGGAAACCACACGGCCATCCAGCAACCATTTCCTAACTCCAGAAAGGATCATGACAGCGGTGTGACCTGCCACAACATCACTGAAGTCAGTCTCTGCACACAAACAATGCGGCAAAAAGAACACAAACCCCTGTAAGTGCCCCGAAAGTTTAAAACACTCCTGAGATATGAACCCATCTGTGCTTGATGACTTTAATTTTGATGGATAAAACTAAGCTTTGAGAGACAGACACAGAGAGATAGAGATGGATAGTGATTTTTTTTAAACAAAATCAGTTAATGCTAAGTTCAGAATTCGATTTCAACACTTTCATTTTAATAAACTGCAAACTCTCAACCTGGAACCAGGAATTATCTTCAAAATCCTTTTCAAGAAAAGCAAGATTCCAAATTCCTGCCAGGCACCTAAGACAAGAGTTTATGTTCCAGGAAAGGATGCTTTCAAACCTATCTGGAGTGATTATTGCACAGTGGGGCCCGCAGGACAGCAACTTTCAAGGCGAGAGCTCACACTAAGAAGGCCACAGGAAACACAGCTACAGTCTGCCTGACTCCAGCTCAGCCTGATGAACACAAACATGGATCCTGCTTAGAAAAGAAACTCCTGAGGAAAGAAAGGGATGAAGACTGTACCAAGGCCACTGTTGTCAGAACTTCCATTGTATTCCCTCTGTCACGAGGGACTCTCACAGACCCATCAGTACATGCACTGAGAGGATGGGGACAGAAGCTCTCCGGTGCTGTCTCACTCGGCTCCGACTGAGCATGGGAAGAACTTCCTAACAGATTGGTTTGCAAAGCCAGCAGGCTCCTGGCGGTCAACCCATGATCATGCGAGGGTCGGGTTGTCAGTGAGACACCTCGACCCTGTCTCTAGTACACGCTAGTGTTTGTCTAAGCCATTATCTTGACATTTACAAATGGAATTATGATCGCATTTTTTCCCTTCTCCTTTTAAATACAAGTAGCACCATGTTTCACTCTGATGCGACTTTCCCCACAGCCTACCCATGGTCATGAAGGTATTTGGCAAATAGTCCATGCAGCAGCCTATGATGCACAAGACAGCCCGAGGTTTAAGCCCTCCTGCTCTACTTAAATGTCAACCCTGAGCACACAAATCAAAACATACAACTCTAGACGTTCTTATCTTCTCCAGCTTCCTGTTACAGCCATACCCTGCACACAGCACAGGCAGAGCCACAAAGGGCAGCTCATCTGTCCTAGCTCCACAGAGAGCAGGCTCCTCATGACCCCTGCTTTCAAAGCATTCACTCATTCTAAAATGGTATGCTATACACAAAACCATCCGCTTTATTCCGGAATACATCATCTTAATGAGAATAAAAAGCTTTGTATGCACACACTGCCAATACATTTAAAAGGCCCAAATTTTAACAAGTAGAATAGACAAATTCATCAGACAAAAGAGCATAAATTACTTTGGCTGGAAAAAAAAATCTGGCTCAACATTTTGCTTGCAGATTTTCTACAGACATTTTGTGTGTGTGTGTGTTGAGTATATTTGTGTGAAAAGGGCTTTTCCAAAAGGAATGAAGTGTGGCCAAGCCCACTTTCCCACAATTAGGTAGGGACCACAATGTTCTTTGCTAACAAGACAAGAAGCGCAAGGTCTGCATTCCCACCAACTCGATGCAGAGCCCCGAGGGCTTCCTGCAGAGTGAAGCCAGCACCCAGAATCCTGTCAACATCTGCCGCAGGGAAGATAATCGGTGGAAGAGTGGCGGGGGTGGACAAGGACTGTGTGGTAGGTTGGTCCAATCCACTGCAGGGCAACTCGGCTCCAGGGCAGACATTGCTGGTCTCCAGCCTCTCTGGGACTGGATTCTGCACATGCTCAGAAGGCTTACTGTTGACATCCCCCTCACCTGATGCAAGTTCAGGTGAAATTTCTACACTTGAGGTGCAGGACAACTGCTCAGACAGTTTAGCTGAGGTTATGGTGACAGAACAGCTCTTCCTGACTGATTCTGTTGGTCTGGGGACACCTCGGCCAGGTGACAAGCCATCACTCAGACCTCCAAAGCTAGTGGATGTTTCATTTTCTATTGTAGCACAAGGTGTGATTCCTATGATCTCTGTCTTTTCTGATTCAGAGATGGCCTGGTGACAGGAGACTTGTGGGTACTGGTCACTAGGGGTCAGATGCTCACTCTGGGCCCTCCTTCCTGTAAGGTCTGAATCACTTATTTGGATCTCAGCTCCTAATTCTGACTGACAGGTAATACCCTCAGGTGAATCTTCTGAAGCTGGCTTACAGCTAATGACCAAAAGCTCATGCAGCTCTTTCAAGGCTACTGTGACAGATGAACAAAATTCTTCTGCTGACTCCAGAGAGGGCTGACTATGGCCACTTAGAGGGGAAGAGGAACTGTCATCTTTGTTATCCATTGTAGACATTTCAACATTATCTTCTGGGAGCTGCAAATCCCGAGTCAAGATGGAATGTTCCACACGGTCACAGGAGGGGTTACACCGTGATGTCTCCATTTCCATAGAGGGATTATCTGAAGCAAGATGGGATATGCCAGGGCTTTTGATGATGGCATCCTTCCTGCCTGTTGAGCTGCACATAGCAACCAGAGACTGTTCAGCCGTATCTACTTCCATCAGGGCTTCTGAGCACGAGCAGCTGCAGGGTCCTGAAGCTGGAAGCCCTGTCTCTGCACTAGGAAGATGGGCACTTCTCTGTAGCTCATCGGCTTTCATTACAGCTTCCAAACTGACAACTTCTTCATGAAGCTCAAGGTCTTCTGTGTCACAGAGACACTCCTGGTCATGTGGAACACTCTGTGGTTCAGCCCCATGCTGCACCCTCTCTGTTTCTCTGTGCTGCTGCTGAAGGCCACTCACTTGACTTGGGGTCTGATATTCTGGATGCCAACTCTTTATCTGTGCCTCATGCATCCCAGTAGTTGTGAGGGAGAAACTAGCGTCCTGTCTTGTCTGAAGATGAACTCTGAGGCCCTGGGTTCTTTTTTCAGCAGATTTCTCCAGATTACCTGTAACAAATGCTTCTTCTGATGAATTATGCAAAGGCATAGCTAGACTCTGTTCTGCTGAGGAAACAAGATCAGGAAGAACCTGCAGAGGAGGAGGGTCTTTTTTCTTAGAGTTTGTCTGAAATTCAGCTGAAGCCTTCACAGCCTCCATAGCTAGAGATTCAATGCTATCAGGGTCACTGGGCTTGATGGCGCAGACGGAAGCAGAAACAGAGCGAGCGAGACTCGTAGGGCTACCAACCTCAGGACTTTGCCCTGAAGGAGCAGGATGGTTGAATCCATCAGAAGTCGGCAATGATGACATTCCCAGTGAGGTAGATTCTTTACCGCTTTTCTCTGTAATAAGAGGAAAAGAAAAAGATTAGTTAGCAGACCACTAAATTATCAGAGAGTTGAATTCTCAATAGAATAAAAACAGGCCTTTTAATTTAGGGTCTCTCCTGTAAACATGTTAAAAAAATACAAGGATCTTTCTCATTGTGGTAGACAAGGTAGCACCTGTCACTGAAGCTGAAATTGGTGTGTCCTTAATAAACATTAAAATTCTGTATGTAAAGAAAGTACTATTAACGTGCACTTCACAATGCCTGGGTCAGTGCTCACATTTAAAAGATCCTTATTGACGTATTTATACTCCAGAAAGGCTCTCACTACATAGCCAGAGCTGGCCTTAAAGTCGGGAGGCTCCTGCCTACTTCTGGAGTGCAGAACTGTGAGAGCACACTAGCACTCCCAGCAGCTACTTCAGCTCTGGTGAACGTCTGCATCTTCACTGGATGATTCTCACGACAAGGCTTTTTTTCCTCCCTCTTTAGAACAAAACAAAACAACCCAACAGGTTCTCACTCTGTAGCCTAGGCTGGCCAACCCCCTATAGCAAGGCCAGACAACCCTTTAATTATCAGCAGTCCTTGTACGTCAGCCTTGTAAGCACAAGGGTCACAGCACGGGCCGCCACCACTGGCTCCAGGACGCTTTTCACGTTTCAAGTATGAGCACAGAAGTCTCAGAGCAAGCATGCCGGGGACAGAGTGGGGCAACCAAGAGAGATGGGGTTTACATGCCTGGAGATCTCTAGAAGACAGACAAGTAAACAGTGGATTTTATATCTAGCCAAGCTTTTCAAAAACCACGACAAAACTAAGCACCCAATTCAAAGAACAAAACAAACCAAAAAATGAAGCAGACAGAATTTTATTTATCTGCTCAGCTGCTCTAACTATGTATTCATAACTGGGGCAAATCTCCTGTCCGCAGGCTGGCCTCTGACTTGATGTATAAGGGCAATGGGTGTGTATCACTCACTGTTGTCAGTTCTGTGCTTTGGACCAAACACACCTGGGCTTACCATACGCCAGGAAGCACTCTGCTAATCCAACTATATCGCTAGCTCTGTAAAGTAGTTCTGTTCAGCCTGAAACTTGAGTTTCCTGTTTTAGTCTGAGTGCTGAGATTACAACATGAAGAACCATACCCAGCTTTCCAATGTTGTAACTCTGATATAGTACAACAAACCTAACAAGACTTAAGTACTTCACTGAATACAACAGAGGGAGGGGAGAGGAATAGTGTAGTAGTTTTTTGATAGGCAACAATAACTTAGACTCACTCTAATCTGATTGCCCTTCAAACATGATGGGGGCATCAGTGCAGACGCCACAGTGGTCCAACTCCTCTGGCACTATTAAAACCCAGCCTGTAACCACCCATGTCTTTAATTAAAAGGCATATCAAGGCTGGAAGCATCAGCTCCCGGGTTATTAGATTCAATTCAGATGTTCTGTGCTGAAGACTAACATCAGTGTGAATGCTGGACTTCCATGGGCAAAGTCACTCGAAGTCATTAATCAGACCCTGCTAAGTTGCAGGAGGATGGGCCTGCTGGAAGTCATTGGCTTTTCCTTTTTTGGGTTGAGATGGGATCTCATATAGCCTAGGTTGTTCTTTCTGTTTGTTGTTTATTTGTTGTTTTTTTCAAGACAGGGTTTCTCTCTGTAGCCCTGGCTGTCCTGGAACTCACTCTGTAGATCAGGCTGGCCTTGAACTCAGAGATACGCCTGCCTGGATCAAAGGTCAGGGCCACAACCTCAAGGCAGTGACTGACTTCTTAAGAACTACCGTATGTTATAGTTGGTGGCAACCAGGATTATGCTTTGTCTCTGTTTAAATCTAGAAAATCCTTAGCTTTACCTATCAGCTGACTCTGACTCTGAAATAAGTTCAGTTTTGGACTAATGCTAACATAAAAAAAAACATACTGCAAAAGAATATCCGTGTCAGCACCACAGGGGAAAATGTACCACCTGGGGTTCAGTGTCGTCAAGGACCTGCGTACCCCGAAGAAGCCGGAGAGGTGCAGGTGCCCTGGTGAACTCTGTACTTACTATTAGAGTGCCAGCATGTCATCCTTCTGAAACTGAAATACTAGTACCACAGGGGCTAGGAAAAAAGCTAAGGGACATCGACTATGCCTAATATCCGTAAAATGAGACAGAGAGAGGGAGAGGGAGAGGGAGAGGGAGAGGGAGAGGGAGAGGGAGAGGGAGAGGGAGAGGGAGAGGGAGAGGGAGAGGGAGGAAGGAAGAGAGAGAGAGAGAGAGGGGGGGGGGGGGAAGAGAGAGAGAATATGAAAATGAATATGAATGACATGCTACAAGTTTAATTTTTGTTTTGTTTTGTTTTTCGAGACAGGGTTTCTCTGTGTAGCCCTGGCTGTCCTGGAACTCACTCTGTAGACCAGGCTGGCCTCGAACTCAGAAATCTGCCTGCCACCACTGCCCGGCTACAAGTTTAATTACAACCAGCCTCCAAACCCTTACTAAAGCCCTGTGTCAGATCATCAGATAAAATCAGCAATATTTATTTTAAAAACAGTTTCACTCTCCAGTCCAGCCTGGTCTCAAACCTTGGATCCTCGTATGTCATCATCTGAGTGGGCTGGCAAGAACACATGAGCACATCAGCCCACCTATTACTGATTCTAGGGAAGCCATCTGATTCAACTTTCCATTTCTGCTCAATAAAATGAAAATTTTATCCTTTTATAAACTTCAAACATATGAAGACTTCCAGCTTAAAAAAAACAAAAGCTTAAAAAATTCAGTTATCTACAATAAATTGCTGTGACACCAATGGTCTTGATCCATTCTTTTCTTCTTCAGTATTATTTTCAACTCTCAGAGGTAGTAGGTATAATGAATACTTTTTACTAAGACTTTTTCCTGGACCATTCCCATAACCAGTCAAATTTTTAACAAGAATTTATGCCTATGTGTGTATATGGCAACATACATATAAATGTACATACAGGCTAGTTATAACCAGATTGAACAGGGAGAAAGTCTCGAGTTTCCAGAATGATCGCAGACAGACTTTTCAGAGCACAGATGACAGGGGACGGAAGGTTAGTGTGGTGTCAATAAATACCTGGTCTGGGCCACTCCAGCTGCAGCACACACACACTACATGCATCATGGCTTCTGACGCTCTGTTTGGATTAGGAAACAGACAAGCAAACGTGGGTTAACAATGCCAAACCACACAGCATGCAGGGCTGCGGTCCTCGCTCCTTCCCATCCGTAAAACCACGAGTTTCCACAGCGTGGGCATGGGCATCCCAGAGACTTTCTGGTGCTTCGACTCTCTCCAGATATAACCAGCAAGGCTTCTGTCCTTGGAAAGCCAGTACTCCATAGCTCTGCACAGATACTGAAGGCAAGTGTGCCACAGGCACAGTCAATCCACCAGAGGAGCTGCTCCAGGAGCACTCTACACATGTTCGTTCGTTCTTTCTTTCTTTCTCTCTCTCTCTCTTTCTTTCTTTTTTTTTTTGGTTTTTCGAGACAGGGTTTCTCTGTGTAGCCCTGGCTGTCCTGGAACTCACTCTGTAGACCAGGCTGGCCTCGAACTCAGAAATCCACCTGCCTCTGCCTCCCAAGGGCTGGGATTAAAGGCGTGCGCCACCACTGCCCGGCTCTTTCTTTTTTTGAGACAAGGTCTTGCTATGGCCTAGACGACTTTCTGAGCATGTGGCTTATAGGCAGGCGCCACCACCCCAAGCTCAGGACTCATCGATTTCTTTTTTCTCTTTCTCTCTTTTCTCTTCCTTCCTTCCCTCCCCGCCATCCCCCTCTCTTCTCTTTCTTTCTTTCTGCAAGACAGGGTCTCTCTGTGCAGCCCTGGAACTCATTCTGTAGACCAGGCTGGCCTTGAACTAAGAGAGCTGTCTGCCCATCTCTGTCTCTTGAATGCTGGGATTTAAGGCATGCATCACTATTGACCATCTAAAGATTCACTAAGCTCCATCTGTTGCCTTCTTCACAGTTAGCCAGCCAACAGACATGTAAACAGTGTTATTATTGATTTTAGACAAATACAAAGGATGAAGATACCCTAATTAGCCAAAGGAAGAATTTTTTGAAAATATTTTCATATTATATCCAGAATTGTGTAATTTTCATGATCCTAAGCAGTCAGTTCTCAAATAATAAACACTACTGTTGCAGAATCATCACTGTTGAAACACTGAAAGGTCAGCACGGTCCCACATGTCACTAGCAGAAGCTCCACAGGAAAGCTGGCAGTCCACTTGCGGATCCTCCCATAGCCCCTGTGCACTGTTTACGCTGAGCAACAGGAGGGAAGCTGTTACTGGGTTAGTAACACTGCTGCCATCAGCCACGGCTATGGGAGGGGTGGTGGTGGTGGTGGGAGATATCTCAAAACATCAGCATCACTTCTTTTTTTTTTGTTTTTAGAGACAGGGTTTCTCTGTGTAGCCCTGGCTGTCCTGGAACTCACTCTGTAGACCAGGCTGGCCTGGAACTCAGAAATCCGCCTGCCTCTGCCTCCCAAGTGCTGGAATTAAAGGCGTGCGCCACCACCGCCCGGCTCAGCATCCCTTCTAAGCTGCCAAATCACCATCCACAGGCTAAGGAGGTGAATGAGTTTACTCAAGCTGACTTTTGAGAAGATTAATATGATTGCTAATTCAAAACTCTCCCTCTTTTTAAAAATTACCTCAGTTGCAACCAAAACTCTGGATTACACAAAATGCAACCTGACCAGCTGATGCAAGGATCCCCAAGCTAGGAGCTCACATCCCAGTGTTTCAGGGTACCACTCCTGCAGGTTCTCCAGGAAACGTAACAAAACCTTGTAGTTTGTTATTCAAATATATTATCTTTTGTCTTGAGGAGAAAGCTATCCCAAGAGCTCGTACTCTAAGACACTTTACCAGAAAGAGCAAAGTGTGAGACTGTCTCATTGATGAATAATCCTGGTGCAAAATTTCATGAGAACTCACTTAAAAGTCAGTGTTTTATCAGTTGGTAGAAAACGCACCCCTGAGTTACTGTTCTGTAACAGATGGGGGGGGAGGGTTGTCAGCCAAGCTGTTTTGATTTATTTCTCTCAGAAGACTGTGTTAAGGAGCCTGCTTACAGAGGTCCCTACCTCTGGGAACACAAACACTGTATTCAATTAATGTGAAGCTACCCTCACCACTGACTCTTTTCCGTAGCCCTTTCCCAAAATATTTTTACTATGGAGTCACAGGGGTAATGCCTTTCCTCAAATCAATATCCAGGCTGAGAAAACACATTTCCAGTGAAATACTGCTGGTCTTGAAAGTGTATGCTTACTATAGTTTTCTTTATGGACAATACAGGATGTTTTAGAAGCATCCAAGCAAGTAACAACCTACTCCTGAGTACAGCTCCGGGCTCTTGTTCTTCTTGTTCTGTTTGTTAGAAATAAGGTATCATTGTGTAGCCCCAGTGCCCTGGAATTACTATGCAGACCAGCCTGGCCTCAAGTCACAGAGGTCAACTGTGCCCCTTGAGCACTGGAATTACGATGTGTACGGCCATTCCAGGCTCCTTTTTTTTTTTTTTCCCTTTTTGGACAGGGTGTGTCTACACAGTCCCCACTAGCCTGGACCTTCATATTCAGCCTAGTCTGGGTCTGAGCTTGGGACCCTTCTGCCTTGTTCTCAGATGCTGCTTTACAGGTGTGTGTCGCTACACCTTTTTGCTTGATTTGTTCAAATACAAGTCCTTCAAAGTTTTTATTATGGTGGTATGTATGTGTGGGCACACCTAGGTCAGAAGATGACCGTGGAGTTGGTGCTGTCCTATTTTCACATGGGCTCTGGTTTCTAGGCTTCTGTGGCAAGTGCCTTTACCTGCTGAGCCACAGCAATGCAAAGCCCTGTCCGCTCTTTCTCCTCCTTTTTGAAACAGCGTCTCAAATATTACAAGCTAGCCTTGCAATTCTGATTATTTCCTCCTGAGTGCGGAAATTCCAGGTGTGCAGCACCACATCCAGTCTGTGGTACTGGGGACTGAGCCCAGTGCTTCCTTTGTGTGTGTTAACAAGCACTCTAGTATCAAGTAGCATTTCCTGTCCAGTGGTATTGAGAGATGGAGGAGGTAGGAATACAGCGAGCACACCTGCTGCTGACCAGTGAAGCTGTCTGTCATAAACTAGAAAGGCCTTTGCCTCACTAAGCACACAGCTCTACTCAAACAGTTTAATACCTGCATCCTCGGCTGATTTTTGAATGGCTTCTGCTAATTCTTGGTCTGCAATTTCCTCTGGCCGGATGTCCTCTCGCCCGGTTCCATATGCCAAGCGAGCACACTCTGGTAACTCCCCCTCAGGAAGGAAGGTGGTCTGTGAGCCTGTGGTGCCAATCACCAGAACATTCTTCTTCAAGTCAATAGAACACTTTAGAAGAGAAAAGCAAAGAACAGCAGCAGATGAAGCATCCTACAGAGAAATAAATTCTTGGTTCCACATTCAACCAGTAAAGAACACTACTAGAAAAAGAGATGGTTTAAAAATAAAAAGACATAACCTTAGCACACGCTGAAAGCATCAATTTTATACTTCTGGCTTTGGACACAAAGTTTTGCTATGTAATCCAGGATGGCTACCAACGCACCTCATAACCTAACACAGGCTTCAACTTGCCCTCCTCCCACCTGTCTCCAGGTGTGTGCTACTACATCTCCCTAGGCTTTTCTGATTTTAAACCTCGAACTCGTCTCTCTTGGTCTGCTGTTTCTGTTGTTGCATACTCCGAGTCAGCGGCCCATGACTTTCCAAACAACTTTGGCTCCATGTCCTACCTTTAGTGCTAAGACTACAGATGCCACCACATCCATCGAGGGCCCGGGAATCAAGCCTAGATCATCACACTTGCGCAGCCACTGCAGCTAGCTTCACCTGTCCAGTTACCTCCCAGGCCCTCTTCTGCTATGAGATAGTGTCTAGAGTCCAGTCCATCCCTGACCTCCTGATCCATTTGCCTGAGGCCCCAAAGTGGTGTGACTACAAGTGTGGGCTACAGGGCCACTTCATCTCTAACTCATAGTGCCCTTCCTGTGTGTTATCTCTACTTAAGATGTCACAGCTGCCGGTGCCTCGGACTTGTGTCTGTAAAGTTAGAAATACCAATGCATGCTAAACAACAGCAAGACACTGACAAACTAATAACGCAGGCTTCATTATACAAACATACTCATTCCTTCTAGTTATAACACTAAATCAATAGAACAGACATTGATCACCGACTGCTCTTCTGGAGGTCATGAGTTCAAATCCCAGCAACCACATGGTGGCTCACAACCATCCATAATGAGAACAGATGTCCTCTTATGGGGTGTCTGAAGACAGCTACAGTGTACTTACATATGAATGAAAGGCTAGGCTGGAGGGAGAAGGGAAGGGGAAAAAAGAGGGTGGGGGTGGGGAGAGTAGAATACACATGGCTTTTCAAGGCTTGTTGTTTTTAGGGACCTGCATCCAGCACCTTCCATACACCAGGCAAATGCTCCTCTGACTCACATCTGCAGCACAGTGGCAGGAAGGTCCTGACTTTACATAAACCTCACCCACCATGAGACTCAGGCTGGACTGGGGTATTTCATTACCCTGCAGACACTACCTAATGTTCTGCCACGAGCACGGCGGACTTAGAAGAGGAATACAAGTATCATCAGAAATTAATGCCCTGTCAGAAAATCCTCCCTGTGTGAACAAAGCATTTTTATTTTTCAGCCTTTTAACCTCAAGGATCCTTCTAACTACAGTCTAATCAACATCTAAGAAAAGAATGTAGTATAAAAACCTACAAAAAAAAAAAACAACCCCTCTGGATTTTAAATCAGAATCTTAAACTTGTACAGCTTGATACAAGTGCCGGGGGCTGAGAGCTGGCTGAGGGTTAGGCACTCGTGCTTAGCTCTGTAACAGGACCTTTCCATTCTTCCCTCAGGTCAGGGAACCCTGAGAAAGAGGAGACAAAAAGAGTGGAAGAGCCCGAGGGGATGAAGACACCAGGGAAACAAGGGCCCTTTGTCACCATGGTCACAGCTCATATGAACGCACAGACAAGCACAGGTCTGCACAGGTCTGTACCAGGGCCTTTGCATATATAGTATGGCTTTGAGTTTAGTGGTTTTATAGGATTCCTGAGTGTGCAAACCAGTGAGCTCTGTTCCTTGTGCCTCGTCTGTTTTTCCATTCTTGTTTTCTCTCATCATATCTTAATCCCCTGGAAGCCTGTCTGTTTTCTAAGGAGACACAAAGGTGGGTCTGTATGGGAGGGGTAGTGGGGAGGGACAGAGAGGAGTAGAGAAAGGGGAACCATAATCAGGTTATATATTATGCAAGAAAAAAAATTCATTTTCAGTAAAAGGAAAAAACAAATAGGAGCGCCTGTCCTTGCAGAGGACCTTCTATCTCCACCCGGTAGCTCCTATCCATCTGAACCTAAGGTCCAGGGCATTCAACGCTCTCTTGTTACCTTGAAGGGAACCAGGCATGCATGTGGTACTCAGACATTCTTACAAAGAAAATACATATAAAAATAAATCCAATTCTTTAAAGGTTAAAACAAATAATAAAATTGCTAATAATAATAATGTTAAACCAGACAAGATTTAACTTATTCCTTAGAGGTTTGTAAAAGAGATTTGTGCTGTTGGTTTTTTGTTTGTTTTCCAGAGAGGGATTCTCTGTGTAGCCCTGGCTGTCCTCAAACTCAAAGATCTGTCTGCCTCTCCCTCCCAACTGCTGGATTAACAAAGACCACCTGGTGTTGTTTTGAGGCTGAGTCTCACTATGTGACTCTGGCTGGCCTCAGAGATGCCTGACACCTCTCTGTCCAAGTGCTTGGATTAATAAATGCACCACCATACCCAACCAGCAGACTCTATTTGTAGTGACAAATTGTTTCAACTCTATGACAACAGAATCTACCAAGGACATTTCCATGGTTCTTGGTTTGTCAATACATGTAACCGACAAAACTGAGGTGAATCCTAGAGACACAGCAACAGTGGAGTGCTCAGGGATGGCGGTACATGCTTGTTAACCCAGGTGCAAGAGGCAGAGGGAAGAGTATCACTGCAAGTTCCAGGGACTCTGCTTTACACAGTGAGCTCTAGGCCAGCCAGGGCTACATAACTTAACAACAACCACTACAGGAAAACACAAAGCAAAAGCACAGACTGGGGAGTGCTCGGTACGGTCTTACTTGGTAGTCTTTGTTGTGCAGGCATGAGGACCTAAGTTTGGATTTCCCAACACTCATGTGGGAAGCCTGGTACAAGAGTGCCCATGTATAACCTCAGCACTGGGGGAATGGACATAGGAGGTTCCCTGGAGATGCTGCCCAGCCAGTGTAGCATAATTGGTAATTCAGGGTTCAGTGAAAGACACTCTCTCTGAAACAAGTAAGTGGAGACTGAGGAGGTCACCTGTTGTCAACCTCTAGCCTCCACACACGTGTGTCCATGTATGTACACACACACACACAAAAGCTCTTAATTACCTGATGCCGTTTAAGCATGTCCAGACCCAGAAGCATGTCCATAGGCTGTTCTTCCAGAATTGAGAAGGAACATGCCAGAAAATCGCCTTCAATCTGAACCTGAGCTAAAGCACAAAGAAAAGATATTACTGGTGTTGGCTTCACAAGCCCAGGGCAAGCTGTGCCTGGCCTTCTGGGAAGGCATAACAATTAGATAGGCGGAAAAGCAAATGAAGTGGACAGGACAAAGCTACTGCTACAAACAGGATCAGGACCCACGCTCAGCAGGTGAAAAGAGCAAACATTATGAGGATTAAGAAAATGGCCGCTCTGGGCGGTGGTGGTGGTGGTGGTGGTGGTGGTGGTGGCGCACGCCTTTAATCCCAGCCCTTGGGAGGCAGAGGCAGGTGGATTTCTGAGTTTGAGGCCAGCCTGGTCTACAGAGTGAGTTCCAGGACAGCCACGGCTATACAGAGAAATCCTGTCTCAAAAAACCAAAAAAAAAGAAAAAAGAAAAAAAAGAAAATGGTCATAGTGAAGTTAATTCTCTAATAGTTACCATTGGATTTTATATACTTCTAAGAGGTCTACAGGCTGGATAATGTGAAATACGTGCCCAATATAAAACATACTAAACAACCACGTGCTTAGTTTCCAAATGAAGAAATAGAAGAGTGATGAGGGACAGCTCAGTGGTTAAGAGCACTGACTGCTCTTCCAGAGGTCCTGAGTTCAGTTCCCAGCACCCACATGGTGGCTCACAGCCATCTGTGATTTGATGTCCTTCTGATGTACATAAAGACAAGATCATTCATAAATATAAAATAGATAAATAAATAAACCTTGGGGAAAAAAGAGCCCTTGCTTATTGCTCTTCCAAGGACCTGAGCTCAGTTCTCAGGACCCACGTCAGGTCGTTCACAACTGCCGGTTAGCCTCTAAGGGCGTGTTCATACACACGGTACAGACTTATAGACTTATACACATAAGGAACAACAAAATAAATCTATAAAAAGAAACCCACACTGTTAGGTTTCCCACAGTCATCTCATCTGTCTCTTCTCTCCCCAGTGATCCTAGGTTCTGCTTTCATCATTTTAGTATTATACATATTTCTAGCAAACATTACCGTCTATTTTGTTCTTTAAAGTACTATTTGTCTTTTCAAGCACTGGAACTATAGATGAACACAACCTCATGTGCTCAAGGCAAACATCTTTTTTCCAAAGACAGGGTTTCTCTGTGTAGCCCTGGCTGGCCTGAAACTTGCTCTGTAGGCTGGCCTCTAACACTGGGATTCCCCTGCCTCTGTTTCCCAACTGCTGAGATTAAAGGCGTGAGTCACCAGGCTCAGCTCTCTTAGGTATCATGTAGCTGAGTCCAAGGTTAGCCTGATTTATGTAAAAAGGTCCAGGGCTACTTTAAAAAATAAAAAAATCCTGTCTTGAAAAAAGAAAAAACAAGCCAGGCGGTGATGGCACACACCTTTAATCCCAGCACTTGGGAGGCAGAGGCAGGCGGATTTCTGAGTTCGAGGCCAGACTGGTCTACAGAGTGAGTTCCAGGACAGCCAGGGCTACACAGAGAAACCCTGTTTCAAAAAAACAAAACAAAACAAAACAACAACAACAACAAAACCAAAGAAGAAAAAAGAAAACAGAAGCAAGTTTCAATCTTTCCTTTTCTGGTCTTGATCGTCACCTCTTTGTTGGAATGATTTTTGAATAGATCTCACATAGTCCATTTAGGCTGGCTTTGTACTCCTAAGTGTCTAGCTTCCACCTGCCAAATGCCTGGCTTACAGGTGTTTGTGACACCACGTCCAGCTGAGAAGTTCTGCCTGAAGAGCAGTGCAGGTGCTGTGTGCATGTGCACGTGTAGACACGCCTGTGGAGGCCGGAGGTTGATGCTAAGTGTCCTTTCCTTTCTTGCTCTCTACTGTAGAGACAGGGTCTCACAGAACTGGGCTGGATGGCTGACTAGCCTCCCAGATCTCCCAGTCTAGTCTCACACTTGTACAGCAGCATTCTGCCAATTCAACTGCCCTCCGACCTACATGTGGGCTGTAACCTGGACAATTTACATATGTGTGCTGTGAAGCTGGTCTGACTTCCAATTCCTCTATGTACGTCTCTTGTTCTAAGATTTCCAAGAACACTAAGCATCCACACAGCTACAATGACAACAGGAAAATCAAAATGCAGTCCTAACACTTTGAGGGAAATGACCTTTGACCAAGCCAAGCCAGAGAGAAAGAAGCCACACTCTAGAGTCAGCAAGATGTCTCAGGAAGGAAAATTCTTGCCACAAAACCCTGGCAACTTGAAATCAAGTCCAGGGACTTGTGGAAGGGTGAGCACCAGTTGCCAACGTTGTCCTCTGTCTGACCTGCACAGGAGCAGGCGTACCCAAAGACACACTCACTTGCTCTCAGGTACGTGTCATGTCATGTCAATCAGAGGTACTGTGAAAAACCTTAAAAACTTATTACCCTATTAAATCCCTATTTAAAAAAGCAGTGACCTGCCCGCCTTCACTCACCTAGATGCACCCTTCCAATAATTTTCTGTGTGCCTACTCCTTTGGCAATGCCAGCCCAGCGACGATCCACCAGTCTCATTATGTTACACCTTTCTGCACAGGCCTGGCTCATAATCGTCATCTGGGCACCTGGAGGAAGAGAGAAATATCAGACTGTAAAGCATAAGGCACGTAACACCATCCTGCGCAGCTTCTCCTTTGTTTGTTTTGTAAAGCTCCAACTGTTCCTCCTGCATCCATCCTCATATTCGGGGACTACAGATGTGGATCGACACCCCTGATATTTAAATTCACCTTTCGTTTCCAAAACAGAATCTAACCAAGTACAGAAATATGACTGAAAGAAAAGAATATGTTGTTTATAGAGTAACTGAAGTATACTTAAAAACTTAACCAACAGAAAAGGAGCTTATCTGGAGGCAACCTTCTAAAATCCCAATGTTGCTACTGTGTCCACAGACAGAAATGTTATGTTACACAGCACCTTACACTCTGAAGATCTCATCTGTTTGTTTGTTGAGTGAGGAACTTACTGTACTGTCTGTGTAGTCCATAGTAATCTTGATCATGTGATCCTCTTGCTCCAGCCTTCTGGGATTGCAGGTGTGTATGTGTTGGACACTATAGCTCAGTGGGAGACCACTTACCTAACCTAACACAGACAGGGACCAGAACCACTTTAGAAAAAAAGCCAGGCGCGATGGCATATGCCGTTAATCCCAGCTCTCAGGAGACAGAGCCAGGAAGCCTTCTATGAGTTTGAGGCCAGCATATTCTATACAGCTAGCTAGCTCAAGACAATCTACATATGAGACCCTATCTCAAATAAACAAATAGCACACCCCACCCCTAAAAAAGAACATAAAACAATTCAATGTCCTTTATTTTTTCCCCCAAAAAGAAATGAACCTACAAATAAGTCCTCTTCCCTTGAAAGCTGAGAATGTAGAATAGCTTGTTTGTTTGGCACAAGGTTTCAGTGCAGCTCAAGCCTAAAATTTACCGTACAGCTCAGGATTCTCTTGTTTCTACTTCCTTAGGTGCTGGATTACAAACATGGTCCACTAGTAAGTTTTATGCAGTGCTGGGTATCAGACTCAGGGCTTTGTGCATGCTAGACAAGCATGCTACTATCTAGGCCACTCCTAGCCTCGAGAACACTTCTGTCTGGGGGGGATCCATCCTCAGCTGCATGCGGCTGACACTGTAATCTCTGTGGAGGCCCAGCCTCACTTCTCTCCACTCTAACTGTGGTGGGCACAGTTCAGTGTTGACTCCTGCTATCTTCACTCTTCCCTCACTGTCTCTGTAATGTCTGACCATCATTCTCACCACAACTGTGGGTCTGGCTTGCAACCCTCTCCCCTCCTAAGTGGATTCTTCTCTGGCTCGGAATCTGTGCCATGCGTGTGTAATTTAAAGCACTCGGAGTTACTGAATTCTTCCAGCTCTGCCTCTGCCTGAAGCAATCCCAAACTATCACCTTCAGATCATTCCCTGACCTGCTCTAGAACCCTCCAAGGCTCCCACTTTGTATAAGACTGTCAAGCCCCAGTGCCCCAGCGTCAGGCCCACTGCACCCTGTTCATCTTTAACCTTACATCCACATCTCTTTTTCAGACAGGGTCAGAGCCCAGGCTAGCTTCAAACTCACTGAAAGATGTGGATGACCTTAAATTTCTAATTCTCCTGCCTCTACCTCCGAAGTGCTGGGATTAAGGTCTGTGCCATCTCTTAATTTACAGAGTACTAAATCAAACTCAGCCCTCTCTACCAATACATCTACCCACACCCCATTCGACTCTTACAGTGTCATCACATCTACACAGCACTCCAGGCAGGAGGAAGCTCTACCTATTCCCTCTAGCCTCCTAGACAGCATCCCTTCCCTGCTCTCATTTTCTGAGTTTCAGCTGTGCTTAGGCCCGGCTGGAGACTAACCAACCAATCCTGCTGTCGGATTTCACTGCATGAAGCCCGCACCTTGTGGGCACTGGCAGATCTTAGACACTTGAAAGGAGTGACTAAGGTATCACACAATGGTGTGGTGTCAGCTTAGCAGGCAAGGCCCTGGGTTCTACCCTGACCAACATGCACACACACGCAGTGCACAGTCAAACCTTCTCCGAGGAAACTAAGATTCAAAAGTCCCGGAAAGAGTCTAGGAAATCTGGAAGGCAATTCTGTTCTCCTAGTCTTCACAAATTAACCTGGGAAAAGCTGCCATAGCTCACTGTCCCACACAGTCTGCCTATGGAGCAGTCTTGTGGTCACTTCTGGAAATGGTCCTGTGTAGCTCAGCCCTGAGAAAGTGATCTCTACAGCTACCACACCTACCCAAGTGCACTGCCTTTTGCTCAGTGATTAAGGATCCTTTGGCATCAAGCATAGCTGAGGCTGAATCCAAAATCCTCTGTTCACCAACGCTATGCCTGCACCCAAGACTTGATTTTGCTAGGCCTTCATGTCTTTACCCACAAAACAGGAACACACCATGGCACAAAGGGATGGTCTGAGATTAAACACAACGCAATAAGATGCACTAACCATCTAGCATAGTGCTTGGTGTACAGCAAGAACCGTTTGTCTGTCTCTCACATTTACATCCTGAAGTTCTCAACAGGAACATTCACCATTAAGCACTCAGCCCAAGGCTACACAACACTAGATAAATAACTTTTAAAAAAGAAGACATATTATCTGTCTGTCTGTCTGTATGCATGCTAAATACATTCAGGTGTCTGAAGAAGCCAGAGGACACTGGAGCTCTCTGGAGCTAGAGTTACAGGCTGTTGTGAGTGGCTTAGAATGGGTGCTGGGAACCTAACTCTGGTTCTCTAGAACAGCAGCAAGTGTTCACCACTGAGTCAGCCATCTCCAGCCACTTGGTAGACATTGTTTAAACAGACTCATGAACACATTTACTTCTGAGAATGTCGTAGTCTCGAGACACAAACTAAATATGTGCACAAGTGTGGCCTCTCCCTATAGTACATCCACAAACACGTGAACACATGTTCAGTTTGTTCCTTGAGACTGTGATGTTAGGTTCTCAACACCCGGCAACTCAGGTTGCTCACAGCCTCAGAGAGATGGCCAGACTCACGAGCATGACACCGAAGGATTTAAAAAGCAGAGATGGGAGCTGGAGAGATGGCTCAGTGGTTAAGAGCACAGGCTGCTCTCCCAGAGGACCTGGGTTCAATTCCCAGCACCTACATGATGGCTCACAACCATCTGCAATGGGGTCTGATGCCCCCTTCTGCCATGCAGGCATATATGCAAATAGAGCACTCAGTTACATACATAAGTAAATCTTAAAAAAAAAAAAAAAAAAGCAGACTGGAGTGAGGGCTCTCAGCAGGACAGAACACAACACCCAGCACGCACACTGTAGCACACTGCTGCTGTAACTCTGGCTCCAGGATTCTGATGCCCTCTTCTGGCCTCGGTGGGCATACATAGACTTGTAGGCAAAACATAACAAATACATAAATTGTTTAAAAAAGATCTGAACAAAAGTAATTATTGAAAACAGGTGCCAGTTAGCACATGGGCCACCTGAAGCTCAAGCAGCAAACCGTCTCTTTCTGCTCCTTCCTTCTTTTCAATGTTATGTGTTTTGCTTGCATGTACGTCTGTGCAGCACATGTAAGCCTGGTGCCCACCAAAGCCAGAAGAGAGCATCAAATCCCGAGATCAGACAATTGTGAGCCACAAATAACATCATTTATCAATGACAACAGAGGCCCGCTCAGCCCATCCCCTTAGCACACAGCCCGTCCTTCTCTGGAGCCTCACAGAAGCAGCCTCCAGCAGTAACTGGGGCCAATTCTGACTTCCACCTTTGGCTTGCTGTCAACCTTTTTACTTTATTATCTTAAAAGATTTGACTTTGGGGGGTGAAATATGAGTACAGGTGTACTCAGAGGCCAGAAGAAGATGTCGCATTCCCTGGAGTTGGCATTAAGAGGTATGAGCTGTATGACATGGGTGCTGGGAACTGAACCCAAACTTCTGTAAGAGCAGTACTCACTCTATATTTTTTTTTTGTTGTTTTTGTTTTTCGAGACAGGATTTCTCTGTGTAGCTCTGGCTGTCCTGGAACTCACTCTGTAGACCAGGCTGGCCTCAAACTCAGAAATCCGCCTGCCTGTGCCTCCCAAGTGCTGGGATTAAAGGTGTGCACCACCACCACCCGGCCAGTTCTCACTCTAAATCACCACTCTCCCACCCAACCCAATTGCAACAAGTTTAAGCCTCTATTTTCAGTTCTTTGGTTAAGTGGCCAAGAACCTGGAAATACCAACCACCAGTAACAGCACAGGCCAGAGATACTCAAATACAAACCCGGCTAAAAAATGACTGGGAAAAGGACTCTGTTACCAACACATAGACTGAAAAATGAGAATAACCTGCAGCCCCTGCAAGCACAGCACAGGGCTGCAGTGTCTAAGTCACTGGTCTCCCCTCCCCCGGTGTCACCTGAGTCAACGAAGGCTTTCACAGGATGCCCATTCACTCTGCAGTTGATGTAGAGCATGGCGACTTGACCGAAGCTCTCCGGAGCCTCCTCCATAGCTATCGTCATGTTCTCCTCGATGTTCTGCTGCCTGTGACAAGCCAGAACAGGACACTGAAAGCTCCGTTTCCAGGAAAGAACACCAAGAACATTTGTAAATGGGTTTTGCACTAGCTGCAACAGCAGAGTCACAGAATGAAAATTAGTTCTATGTTCCCCAATAGGTGAACAGGTGACTCAGCAGCAGACAATGAGACATTGTCCTGAAGAAGACCTAAGACAGCATAAAAATCATCCTTGTGTAAAAGAATTATGGTCCTTTAAAAAGCTCAGAAATGGAAAAACTCCTAGAAAGCAAGGCCACAGCCCTGTGTATCTTACCAAACATTGAAATTTCATGAATACTACTTGAGATAGGTTCTTATTATACAACTCAGGCTGTACTTGAACTTGTGACCCTCTCATCTCAGTCTCTCCAGTGCTGGGATTATATAATACATGCCACTATAGTCTGCAAGAATGCTCCTTTATTTCTGGATTTTTGTTGTTGTTGTTTTAGATTTTGTTTTTGAACCAGGGTTTCTCTGTGTAGCTCTGGCTGTCCTGGAACTTGCACTGCATACCATGCTAGCTTCAAACTCATGAGATATGCCTGCCTCTACCTTCTGAGTTCTGAAATTAAAGGAATGTGTCAGAACTCACAGCTAATATTTTCTTTTAAACAATGCATTCCTGGATGGTGCCTTTCGTAATCCGACCTTAGCAGAGGCAGCTGGATAGAGTTAAAGAGAGTGGCTTCAACCTTCTCAACCATAAAACTGTTTTGTTGATACTTCATAAGTGCAATTTTGCTACTGCTATGAACCATAGTGTAAGTACGCGACCCCTGTGAAAGGGTCGTCCAGTGTCCCTTCCTCGAAAGGGGTCTTGACTCCATGATGAGAACCAACTGTTTGCGGTAATGGGGTAATGGGCCTATGAGACAGCTCAGTGTGTAAAGGCCTCTAAGCCTAAACACCTGAGCTCCGTCCCCAGATTCCACAAGGAAGAAAGAGAGATCTAACTTAAACAAGCTGTCTTCTGATTGTCACATATCTGTCACTGCACGCACACACACACACCAACAAATAAATGTAGTAAAAATGTGTTTTAACTCTAGATAGATTTGATTACATTCCTTGGGTTGGAAAGATGACTTCGTGGTCTTGGTGGTTCCTGTTTCCCAGATGACCTGAGTTTGGTGCCCAGCATCTACATCAGGAAGTTCACAGCTGCCTGTGATTCCAGCTCCCGGTAATAATACAACAGGCCACCAACTCTCATCACACACACACACACACACACACACACACACACACACACACCACACACACCAATAAAATTAAACATTTACCATGCATGGTGGCACACACAGAGGTAAGTGGATCTCTGAGTTCAAGGCTAACCAGGGCTACACAGTGAGACCCTGTCTCAAAAGAACAATAAATCCAACGAGCAAACCAAGCAAACCAACGAGCTTCAGGGCAGCCCCAGGTTCACAGCAGTGTCCAGGCAGCTTGGGGTATGGAGTAACCTGGTGATCTGCTTTTCTCACAGTCCCAGGTTCCTTTAGGGCACCGCTGTAGGAAGGACCTTGCTCAGCTATGCTACACTCCACTTCCAGAGTCTGTCTGTGGCGACTTCCCACCTCTTTTCCCAGGATGAATGCAACTGTGCTTCAAATCAATGGCAGGCTCCTTTACAGGTGCAATGTGGCACAGTGAGAACAAACTGGGCAGACCCAGCTAGTTATGGCCACAGACAGTCAAAAGTGTCTGATTAGGGCCTGCATTCCCAGCTAGTTTGGAGGCCAAAGTAGGAAACTTGAGTTCAAGGCCAGCTTGACAACTTAGTGAGATCCAGTCTCAAAACACAGTGTAAAAGAAGAGCAGAGCTGTGACTCAGTACAGAACTCTTGCCTAACTATGTGAGAAAGGGGAGGGAGGGAGGGAGACACCAACAGCTGATGCATGTGAGGAGAGCACTTAACCAACAGGCATAAGCAAACAGCTTAGGGCTTTCAACTAATTCTAGAATATAATTCACATTTCTTCAATTTTGAGTACAGTCAGAGGGTCAGAGATGCAGCCTGGTAATAAGGACTAGTCTAGCAAGCATTAATGATAAGGTTCGCAGTGGAAGCAAAAGGGTGGGGAGAGCCAGTGAGTATAATAAAGCAAGCAAATTAGGTAACTACAGATAAAGCTCCTGCCCTACTCTGCATAATGGAAGAACTGCTCCTTATAGTTACAGGGTTTTTACAATCAGCAACTAAACGTGACTTGGGGTTGGGGAGCAGATGACATTTTACTCAGACAGCATCTTGCTCATGACTAGTGATGTAGCCAGTCCTGCCGTCAGCACCACCTGGCTTGCCTGGGAGATCCTGACTCACAGACTAGAGAGAAGACGACTCAAGCATCTGCAGTTTTAAAAGAGTACTGCATGCTTTTAATACAGCCCCAGCAGAGAACTACTGCATCAGAGGCTCGGAGGTGGAGATGGGCCATGCAAAGAGCTTATCCACCAACTGAGACAGCAAAGGAGAGCAGAAAGACATCAGACTCTGGACTACCAGACGCCACGTGTGCAGAGCTCTCTAATCCAATCACCTTCAAGCTCTAGTTTAATCAGGATTGAAATCAGCTGTCATAGCCAGTCTACTGATTTCAGCAGATGGGCTTTCTCCTCCATCCGGCTTAGAACAAGCTGTTTTGTCTGCTAACCAGAAGAGTTCACAAAACTTGAGAGCAGGAAGCCATTAAGTATTTTTGAAATACTGGATCAAAATGAGGGGACAAGGAAGCAGAGAGCTGAGCTACCTGAAAAGACTGAGGTTATTATCTCAACTTGGAGACAGGGAACCTACTTCAAGCAGACGCCCAGCTAAAGCCTGATGACCTGACCTGGATGCTGCGAGCTTGCTCATTGGATCGACAATCTTACCGTATATCTTCTTCTATCTTTGCCTGAGCTTCGAGGTCAAAGGGGTCAGCAGAAAACAGACGAATCCGTTCTTGCTCTCTCCGGGCTCGGTCCTGCTGCTGCTCCACCAGGACCCTAGAGAATTTCTCTAAAAAGTGGGAGTGGGGTGGGGTGGGACACACACCATATTAAGCTTTCCACTTTCTCTTTTTTAACCCATAATTTTAAAAAAGCTTTTTTACAGCTGAGCACTGGTGACACCTGACTTTAATCCCAGCACTTGGAATTCAGAAGCTGGAAAATTTGAGTTCATGGCCAACCTGGTTTATAAAGCAAGTTCCAGGACAACTAGGGCTACACTGTCTCAAAAACAACCAAAACAAAGACCTTTTATTTTAGATGTATACATGAACAAAATCTTCACAGCCACAACCTTGTACTCCTTAGCTTAAAAGTCAGAAGACAAGAATGTGTCTCCATTTCTTTTTTTTTTTTTTTTTAATATTTATTTATTTTATTGATGAGTACACTGTAGCTGGCTTCAGACACACCAGAAGAGGGCATCAGATCTCATTACGGATGGTTGTGAGCCACCATGTGGTTGCTGGGAATTGAACTCAGGACCTCTGGGAGAGCAGTCAGTGCTCTTAACCGCTGAGCCATCTCTCCAGCCCCCGTGTCTCCATTTCTTAACCTTCTGACCTCAAACTTCCGCCCCAGCTTCCTTAGTGCTAGGATTAAGTGGTGTGTACCACAACAGTGAGCTTGACGGTCTTCTTCTCATACACTAGTCTGCGTGTAGCAATGGGTATGTTTGTGCCGCACATCCAGCAAGTGGTGGTAAGAAGAGGTAATCTGTGAGTTAGCTCCCTGCTTCTACTCTATGGGTTCCAAGGGCTGAACCTGGGTCGTCAGGCTTGGTTCAAATCTGCCCCCTCGTCCTCAGCAGGGCGGCCACCTCAGCGGCCCTTACTGTCCCCCTTTACCATTATTACAAGTCCCCGTCACGTTGTCTCTAGTCAGTCAACAGCTCCCCTCTATGGCCAAGTGTGGCCGGGCCATGGACAGCAGACAGGCCTCCCTCCCCTTCTCTACTCCCCTGTGACATTATTACCCACCAGGAACAAAGCGGAGCACTGTGTCATCCCTCCCCCCACCCCCCGGGCTCACTCCCTTTGTTCTACAGTCTGCCTTAAGCCAGATAAATTAAGTATAAATGACAGTCTGCCAAAATTTCATGGTCTTGATGGAAAACATGTAGGAAAGGTAACAGAGAGCATTGGTTGCTATTACTATAGGATGCAATTACTACAAAACCAGTAAGTAGGGCTGGAGGGATGGCTTAGTGGTTAAGAGCACTGGCTGCTCTTCCAGAGGTCCCGAGTTCAATTCCCAGCACCCACATGGTGGCTCACAACATCTGTAATGGGGTCTGATGCCCTCTTCTGGTGTGTCTGAAGACAGCTGCAATGTACTTACATAAATAAAATGAAATAAATAAATCTTAAGTGTATGTAGATATGTCCAAACTACTGGCTGTGCACACCTTTAAAAGTTAGGAGGTGGTGGCAGGAAGATCTCTGTAGGTTTGAGGCTGTCAGGGGCTTTAATATTGACCATCTTAAAAGAAAAGAGGGAAAGTAAAGCAATGTCACGTGGACTACCTTCTCAACACCATGAGCCTAAAAGGTGAATTGAAAGAAATCCTGACAAGAGTGTGCTCTGTGATTGTCAGGACAGCACTAGTCTATCACAGGACACTGAGGGCAAGGAGCACAGAGAACTTCCTGCTGAGATGGCTTCAATGGCCAACATGCTTAACTTCCAAGCATGAGGACCAACGTTTGAAACCCAGAACCCACATAGACCTGCTGGAAATGACAATGTACACTTGGATTACAGTGCCTAGGAGACAGACAGAGGCTCTCGGGAGCCTGCTGGCCAGCTAGCCTACCCTAACTGCTAAACAACCAGGGAGAGACAGCACCTAACAGGAGGTGGATGCCATTCTTCATGGTGATGCCTGAGGTTGCCATATTGTCTTGGTGGCACTTGCCTTTTATGCCAGCACTGAGGAGGTAGAGGGACTTGTGAACATCTGAACTCAATCTCTTGCTCCAAGAAGGGGACAGGAGAGAAGCAGCTCTTGAAGAACTGTCCTCACTATGGCTGCGGTGTGTGCTGTGCAGACCCCCAGAGCCCATGTAGAAGCTGGGATGGTCACACACTATGCCAGTGCTTCTACGGTAAGAGAGTCCCCAGATGCTCACACAGCAGCTAGCCTGGTGTATGGAGGACACTGACAAACGCAGAGATGTTGCTCTAAAAAACAAGGTGAAAGATGAGGACCAAGCCCCAAGGCTCTCCTCTGACCTCTATATGTAAGCTGTGGCCACATGTTCAGACACACGGAAAATTAAGAAATTTAAATAAGAAGCTGGGCTCATGCCCTTAATGACAGTACTCGGGAGGCCAGAAGTGCTGGTGATCTAAAAGATCCCTCTCCCAGAATCAATATGATCTCAATTAAATACAAACACTATTGCCCATCAACCCAGTCTTTGAGATTATGTTAATTCAGCCTCTCATCAACAAGTAGACCATCCAAGAATCACCACAGAGAGCCAATGGCCTGAGATAGTTGCCTAGGTCTTATACATTTGCTCTGAAACAACTACGTCCCCTCAGGTCAGCCTGACACGCCTGCACATGGGTGAGCTTACCAAGATCTCCACTGAGCAGAGCTTCTGCCAAGGGTGGGTTACGCTCCTTCAGCAAGGACAGCTCATGCGGGTTGGCCAGCAGCATGTCTCGGAGCAGGGCTGGGTTGTCTAAGCCTTGAGGAGATGATGCTATTTCCCCAGCAGATGAGTGCTGAGCCTGTGTTCTGGGCAGCTGGCGCTGTTGGGGGTTTGACGTGCCAGGCACAGCTATGCTACTGAAGTCAATCCGGGGTAAGTCTGTTGAGATCAATCAAGTTTGCCCAAATGATGCATGCCACAAAAACCAGCATGGAAAGAAACAAAGCACAGACTCATCCATCACAGATAAGCAGCAAACAAGAACTACAGACGCTATGCTGCTCCGCTTCCTCTTCCTCCAAGATGGTATCCCAAGAGGAAACTGACAGAAGAGAGTGTGAGGGGGAGGGGTACACTGGAGACACTGGCTGCTCTTGCAGAGGACCAGGATTCAGTTCCCCAGCACCCACATGGCGGCTCACAGCGACCTGTAACTCCAGTTCTAGAGCATCCATACCCTCTTCTGACCTCCATGAGCATCAGGCACACACATGGCACATACACAAATCACTAAAACAGACAAAACACTCACACACAGTAATTGTTTCTCTAAATCTTTAAAAAAAAAAAAAATTAAACGAGGCAGCTGGAGAGAGGGCTCAGCAGTTAGGAGCACCGAGTGCTCTCCCAGAGGTCCTGAGTTCAGTTCCCAGCAACCACATGGTGGCTCACAACCATCTGTAATGGGGTCTGATGCCCTCTTCTGGTGTGTCTGGGGGCAGCTACAGAGTACTCCTTCATATATATTAAATAAGTAATACTTTTAAAAACATTGACAAAGAATTCAGTTTCAGGCAATGGTAATTCCAAGTCTGAATGTACAAAGTGTTTCAGAACAAATGAAAGGTTTCTGAGAAACATTTAGTGGGATGTGGATGTATGTCTCTTTAACCCCAGTACTTGGGAGGGTAAAAAGTCGATTTCCATGAATTCCAGGCCAACCTGATCTACATACTGAATTCGAGGCTAACAAGGGGGAAGGGGGGAGGAGGAAGGGAAAGGAAGGGAAGGAAAGGGAGTCAGGAAAACTGTAAATTGTGTGTATTTGATTCGTGTTGGGAAGGGGCTGTGAAGTAAGAGGGCAACTGTAAGAGTCAGTTCCCTACCCCACATCATGCTAGTTTCTGGGTCTAACTCAGGTGGTCAGGCTGCCCAGAATGTCAAGGCCCTGGGTTCACTCCCCAGCTGTTAATGTAACTTCTATTCACCTGAATAATTGTCATCTCTGAGGCTTACTGCCTCAGTCTGCTAGCCCAGGCCTAATCCTGGAAGCTTCTAGCCGCCATACAATCTAATCTAGTCCTAGAATACAGCCTCTGAGACTTACTGCTGCGTAAACACCCTTTCTAGCTCTAGTTCTAAGCTCTTGCTGGCTGGTTCAACACAGTCATTCTGCCTCCGACTCCTCTCCAAGCTTCTCTTGGCTCAATCTAGATTCTCTACGTTTCTGATTGAATCCCTCTGCTCAGCCTCATACTAACTTTAACAATCTGTTCTAATCTGGCTCCTTCTCATCCTCTGGTCCATTCTACCTTCATCTGTGTCTAGCTTGTTCTCTCCAGCCCGTCTCCATACAACTGTCTCAGTAAAAATCCTCTTTGCTCTTTCTCTACACTGCCCCTCAAGTAGTTCCTCTTCCCTCTCTCTTCTCGTGAGAGTTAGGCAGATCTTGCTTTGTCAAGTCTTTCTCTGATTCGACACTTTGTCTGCCACTCAATTATCCATCACTTTCAAACATGGGTCTTTTTCTACAAACTAACTTTCCCTTCATTGTTTGGGATTAAAGGTGTGCTCTAAAAGCTGAGCCACAAAACAGTAAATGACACAATTTCAGGGTTCACAGTGTGATCATACACCCTGTGATACGAAGCACCACATGAACTGTGTGATGGTGGACATCTGTAATCCTGGTTCTCAGGAGATGGAGACAAGAGGATTAGAAGTTCAAAGTAACTGGCTACAATTTTCGGCCACCTTGGGGATACATGAGACTGTCCCAAACAAACAAAGAATTGTCTCAGTAACTGCAACTGCATAATTCTAGATATGGTTCCTCAAAAAAAAATGTTTGTTTATTGAGCTAGGCATGGTGGTGCAGGCTTTCAATCCTATCTTCCAGGAAGCAGACAGAGACAGGATGGATCTCTGTAAGTCTGAGGCCAGTCTATTCTACATATTGAATTCTAGGACGGCTAGGGGCTACATAAAGAAACTGTGTCTCAAAATGAATGAATGAAATTTTTTTGAGAAATGTATTCACTGTTTCTGTGTGGATGTGTCTGATATAAGTGTAGGCATGTCTTAGTCACTGTTCTATTCCTGTGAAAAGACACTATGACCAAGTCAACTCAGAAATCCGTCTGCCTCTGCCTCCCAAGTGCTGGGATTAAAGGTGTGTACCACTGCCCAGCCCCAGTCAACTCTAATAAAGGAAAGCATTTCATCTGAGGTTTGCTTTCAGTGTTAGAAGTCCATCATCATCATGGCAGGGAGCACACTGGGATGCAGGCAGGTGCTGGAGCAGCAGCTGAGAGGTTGCTCAGGAAGCACCTTTACCCTCTGAGGCATCTTACAGCCCCTGGTTCTTAAGGGATATCCTAGGACTGGAGAGACGCCTCAGTTGTTGTTAAGAGCACTTGCTCTTGGACCTAGGTGCTATTACCAGCACCAGCGTGGTGCTCACAACCATTCCTAATTCTAGTTCCAATGGTTATGACACGATACTCTGAACGCCACTGGTACCAGGCACACATGTGGTGGACATACATTCTCTATATCCCGTAGATCTGGGATTATTAGCTCCTGATAGGCTCTCTTGAAAAGTCCTGACCTCACACTTGGGATAAAGAATACTGTATCTATCAGTGAATATAATAAACACGTCATGTCAAATTCTGCATGACTAAGCACTGTGTGAGGAAGTCTGAGGAGGGTCTTCGTGCCTCTTTGAATTTACAGCTCATCTGTGCGTCCGAGACACCCGTGGTCCTGGGAAGTAAGTAGACACCATTGTTTTACAGGACTGAAGGACTGAAAAGTAGGAATTTTTTTTTCCTCCAGGTTCTAGACTATTCTAGAACTTCAGTCTTCACACAGGAACCCATACAACACACGAGTTCACGGCCATGAATGCCCAGAACAGATACACATAAAGTCAGAGAGCAAAGCTGCTGGGTGTAAGGAAGCCAGTGGATGACTATTGGGGTAGGTACACATGATGAGGGAATGGGATAGACGACAGCTGTGCCACAGCCACTGAATCTTATCCTTTACATGGGTGCATCCTGTGGCATGTGGCTTCAACAACAGATCTCAGTAAGTATGCTACATACAAGAAAGACACTAAGTATGGTGGCTTATGCCCGCAACAATAGGACTAGGAGTTTGAGACAAGCCCGTCTCCGAAAAAGACAAGCCAAAATAAACCAGAGCCAGAATGAGACAATGACCCCCCCCCACCCCCCCCAAAATAATCCACATTATGTTCAACACTAAAACTCCTTTAACAACCACCCTTGTCCTGAGTCTGGGACAACCTCATGCTGAAGTCCTCTCTCTCAACTACAGACAGATGGTTCTGAAATCCATGTCTGAGGTTTCCGCCTCATGTGTAGGTTGAACTAGTAACTATCTTAAGTCAGATACCAGTTGGCAGTCAGCATGCTTGTGCTGAGAATGGCCATACAGGACAAAACATTCAAACAACGGAAAGGTGAGTGGACAGCAAGCTCCCTGGGGAGCTGCTCCTCTGCCAACTGCCAAAAGCACATGGGTGGGGTGGTCTCTGCAGGTGGAGAGACTTACCTCTACCCAACATCCATCTTGACAGTCCATTTACTTCAGAGTAATTCTGGAAAACTTGTTTACTTAATAAACCAGATCTCCACATAAACCCTTCCCCTCACAGCAACTACTGGCTATATTTTCCATACAGAAACAACAAAACAAAAACTAAAACCAACATACAAACAAAACAAAGCTAACACAGAGACTCTCAAGCACCACCTCACAAGATACACAGGGAATATTTGGTTTTACTGACTGGAAGCTAAAATGGCTACTCTTTCTAAAGCAGGAGCCCAAGGGACAGATCAAAATCCAGAATGAATACACTGAGTGCCTGAAGAAGGTCGTGTGGTCTGAATGGAAGCACTGTGCTCCAGGACACAGTATGGATCACCTAACACACCTGTTAGCCGATTACCATAAACTTTAAAAGGCAGGAGACCTAAATACTATTTGAAAATTTTCACAAAAAGATGTCCGGGGAAGCTCCAAGGCCACACTGGTTTATGGAAATCTGTCTTTAAACCAAACCAAACCAAACCAAACCAGGGGTCTGCGGTGATAGCTCCGTGGTGAAGAGTGATTCCTGATGCTCCCCAGTCCACATAAGCCCATAACCCCCATGACTCCAATTCTATGGGCTCTGATCTCTGTGGGCACCTCCAAAAAGACACACACATAATTAAAATTAATAAACCCTAATTCTAGAAGATCTGACACCCCTTCTGGCCTCCACAGGAACTGAATGCACATAGTACACATAACAAGAAGCAAAACACCCATGCAAAAATAAATCATTAAAAAAAAAATCTCGCCAGGCGGTGGTGGCGCACACCTTTAATCCCAGCACTTGTGAGGCAAAGGCAGGCCAATTTCTGAGTTCGAGGCCAGCCTGGTCTACAGAGTGAGTTCCAGGACAGCCAGGGCTACACGGAGAAACCCTGTCTCGAAAAACTTAATAATAATAAAAAAAATTCTAAGTGAATAAAAAACAAAACAAACTACCGTACACACAGATGAGAGATGTGCAGGTGGGGCCCCAGGGACCCCAACAGCAGGTACAAGGTCTGTCTCTCATTCTGCTGTCTATCTACAAACTCCCTTTCCCCTAACTGGGCTGCCTTTTCCAGCCTTGATAAAAGGTGCACCTAGTCCTACTACAACTCAACATGCTGAAGCGGGTTGATATCCATGGGAGGCCTCCTCTTCTCTTAGGAGAATGGATGGAGGAATGGGGGAGGGGGAGGGGGAGGAAAGGAGGGGAAGCCTTGATAGGGATATAGAATAAATAAATTGATGAAAAAAATTGCAAAAATATATGATTAAAAAAATCTTGCTGGGCAGTGGTGGCGCACGCCTTTAATCCCAGCACTTGGGAGGCAGAGGCAGGCGGATTTCTGAGTTCAAGGCCAACCTGGTCTACAGAGTGAGTTCCAGGACAGCCAGGGCTACACAGAGAAACCCTGCCTCGAAAAACCAAAAAAAAAAAAAAAATCTTTACAAAGGGAAGGAAATTCCCCAATATGAATGGTACACCCAAGATTAGTAGTATCAGGGAGGGGCCCAAACATGGTGCTCCAACCACTTAAATCTGCCAAGTCTGAAATAACAGAAAGAGAGCCGGAGAGATGGCTCAGCAGTTAAAATTAAAAGCACCTAACCATTTGTGATGGGATCTGATGACTTCTGGTGTGTCTGAAGACAGACACGATGGATGGATGGATGGATGGATGGATGGATGGGTGGGTGGGTAGATGGGTGGATGGATAAAGCTTAAAAAAAAGAAAAGAGGAGTAACAGACAGCAACATTTCAATCAGTGTTCTTACTAGTTGTGTAACTGATGGCATCACTTACACTTCATGAGGTAAAGAGGAATGAATTACATCCCCACAACCAAGTAAGGAGACCAGTGAAATATGGGCCCAAATGGCTGATGACTAGATACACTGTAGTAAGTCAGTCAGGAAGCACAGGCTAACAACCCAAGCCTCCGAGATCTTCCTGGGGACAAATGTTACCACGGAACCATCACTGAGGACAGCATAGGCTAATCTTGACTAAGGGCTTACAATGTGCCAGCTCTAAGCTAATCCCGACACCTACTTTACTACAGAAGGGATTGATTCAGAAGTCTAATGACTTGCCCAAGGTTACACAACAGGGAGTCAGGTCTACACTGTCAGTCTGATTCTAACACACCGAACCTCTCTGCTCTACCTACTGATGTTTGTATTAGAAAGAACATGGTGAGTATCGCTCTTACTTGAGAATTGCACTGCAGGTCGAGGGTCTGCACTCTCCTTCTGTCGTAGAATTACTACATCTCCATCTTTTAAACCGTAAGAAGCCAGTGACCTGTGGTTGTCGGTGAGAGGTCTTTCTGCGTAGACAATCTGCAAGGGAAGATCCAGCAGTATCAAGTACAGAGAAGTAACACGGCAACATTTTGCTTTTCATCATGTTTTCTGTGCAAGACCCTCTCCTGGGTTCTGATCATGCCTAGAAGGAAATTCAAAGTCCTGCCTGTCTCCTACTATGAAAGGACAACACAAACCCCATTTGTCTCCATTTAAGGAAAGGCTGTAAGGCACCAGCTCCAGGAACAGACCATAAGTCCCAGAAACTAGGCCATAAGACATCAGCTCCGGGAACAGACCATAAAATCCAGAACGAGATCATAAAACCTCCTCCCAATGAACAGCCTGGGGATAATCACAAAAAACGGGGAAATATCTTACCCCAGAAGGGCCCATCTGTGGTGGGCAGCCCTATCTCATCCTATGGTTAAATGTTCATAACACAGGAATGCTGACCACTGACCACCTCTGACCCCCTAGCACCTACCAATTAAATTTTAGATCACCTAATCCCTCTAGAGAGTTCCTCCTGCAGGCCCCATGCCCACCCCCAACCCCTGTTCCCTATAAGAAAGCCTTCAGGCCTTTGTCTGGGGTTGCTACTTCCAAGAATGGTTGACTGCCCCCAACCGCCCCCCCACCGCCTCCCTGCTGGTTGTTTCTGCAGAATAAACCCTCTTTGTCTTTCTTTTGCATGCTGTCTGAATCTGAGGTCTTCCTTCCACTAGGCCCAAAGGACCTGGCTGATGGCTGCTTCTGACCTCACCCTACTGTTGTCCCAATGAGACACACATTCTCTCAGGTGGTTTGTTTCTTTCTCCTGTCACTTTGTTTAGGTCTCTAGTCAAGTATTACCCTTCAGTGCTCTTCCCTCAAGTCACATACATGTAAAGTGTGCCCCGGACATGGGCTGTGGGTGTTGCTCAATGACACAGCATTTCTCTTACACCCAAGCCCTGGGTTCCAATCCCTAACAACACAACGTACTTTGAAGCAAACGATACTTTTTCATCTAATATGCTACACACTGATCTGCTCCTTAGTCACTCTGCTCAACGGAAATGTAGGCTGTATGGAACCAGTTTCTTCCGTCCAGCCTCCCATCACAGAGGGCTATATAAGGAATGCCCAGAAGTCTTCTCAGGTAATCTTACTTAGCTTTCATTCTGAGCAACCAGGAAAACAGGAATGACATATTCTGGGTATGTTCACTACAAGGTGAACTAGCCAGGAAGGAACATGCAATACTAAGAGGCTAAGGCAGAAAAACATACCAGGCCAGGCACAGCTACTAAAATGCAGTACACATGCAATAACAGTAATTATAGAACAGGTCATGAATGGTGGAGGGAAAGAAATGATGAAGCACAGTACTTACGGAGCAAGTTCTCAATAAATAAGAAAATAAGTAAATAAATAACTTAAAAAACAAAGCATCTGACAAATGATTATAAATTCAGAATTAACAGATAATCGTGTTTTTCAACTGAAAACCAACCAACCCAGACTGGAGAGATGGCTCAGCAGTTAAGAGCTCTTCCAGAGGTCCTGATTTCAATTCCCAGAAACCACATGGTGGCTCACAACCATCTGTAATGGGGATCTGATGCCCTCTTCCAGTCTGTCTGAATAGAGCGACAGTGCACTCACATACATGAAATAAATAAATTAATAAATCTAAAAAAAACAAAAACAAAAAACCAACCACGCAACCGTGGTAGCACTTAGGTGAGTTGCACACTTGCAGGCCTTTCTCTCCATCCCCAAAGACGCTCTGCTCTCGTGCTTGTGAAAGAAGTATAAACAGGAAAGAAAACATGTGAGCTAAGTACTATTAACAGAAATACTCTATGTCCAACACAGCAGCAGAGAGCAGTGTGGGGGGAGAAGGGAGAGAACACAGAGCAGCACACTGGCTGAGCCACACAAGGCTGGGAGGTGGTCCCGATGCCATCATGTAGTCCACAGAACAGACTGGGGCCTGAGCCACAGTCTGCTCCCTGAGCCTATTCTGCACTGGGTCACAAGCTAACTGAGCAACCTGAGCTGGGTATTAACTCAGCCAGGAACTCTGGGAGGGGCCCTGTCACTAGGTGGGGCAAGAGTCAAATTTCTTGTGTCCAGCAGGCCACCAGGACTGATCAAAACAGATGTCCCTTCTAGTTCTTTTTCCGCGCTAAGCCCAGGGCCTTGGACCTGGTAGGCAGCTTGTCTACCACTGAGCTCTACCACCAGGCCTCCTTCATCCATCCACATGCTCTTAGGAAAGCTCCTGGGCACAGAGCGACCGTACAGACAGCATTTACACGGGCCACTCTGACCACTCACTGTCATTCTGCTCCCAAGTCTGTGGTGATGGAGAAAAAAGTCCCTCTTCAAAACTAACTCCTTCCAGAAACAAGAGAACAGAGCTTGTCTGTTCAATTTCACAAGTTTTATACATGACTAGAAATGACTGCAACCAGGTGGATCTATGTGACTTTGAAGCTAACCTGGTCTACAGTTTGAGACCAGGACAGCCAGGGCTATTACACAGAAAAGCTCTGCTCTAAAACTCAAAATGCGTGTCCTAACACATATATTCAGTGCAGATCTCATACTTAAGGCAGAAAACCACGGACTCTTTTTCTCCATGGTAACAAGAAGAGAAAGTGGTGCTACACGTAACTTGTCGGGGTAAGTAGAAAACAACCATAAGTCAGAGCAGAGGTTGTGTACCTGGGTGGCATCAACACCACTAAGCCACTGTTAGGAGGTCACCGATAGCCTGTGGCCTACTATATAGCTTCTCAGGCTCAGAGTCAGATGTCAGTGTATTTAAAGACACATGACTAGTCTCCCAAGGCAGACAGACACACTAGACACTTACTAGAAAATGTACTCATTTATAAAGAAGCAAACTCAGGAAGACAAGAACACTTTCGGGTCTGAGTCTGTGGCTCAGTGGGAAGGCATCTGCCTAGCCCATGGATCCTCTTCCACTGGGACACAATATGAACGTCCAAACTAAACAAGAGCATCCTGCTACCACTGAGTGAGGCTCTACCGGGCTAACATGCCAAGTCCCCATCCACTTAACTCCCATGCTGTCTCACCCGATGTCAATCATTTCAACAGGGATCATTTGTCCAATTTTATGGACCAAAAAACAGAGGTCACACAACCATAAAGAGAAGTGAAACTGGAGTTCTATATGCTTGACATTAAAAATGACATTCTTTTATAGCCCCCAAAGCAGCCTCAGAGACTGGCCTCTAAGTCATCCTCTACCATAAGAATTTACGCCTCCACTGGCAATGCCTGCCTGCCATGTCACGGCCCTGGTTCAACTCTGAGTATGGGGGTATGGGACACGCACAGCTGCTACTCTAAGCACCAATCGATCCTGGGCCTGGGGAAATGTAGCTCAATGGCACAACCTGCAAAGGACATGACAAGGCAGCCTCGAGGGGGAAAGAAATATTGCAATGCCCAGTGTCTTCTTGGTTGGCTCATTTTTTCTTTTACTTATTTTTAGATTTGTTTAAATGCATATGAACCTTTTACCTGCATTTATACGTGTATCTCACCTGCATGCATGTATACACCAGCTGCAAAGTATTTATGTACTTTACCTGCATGTATATATGTCTATCACTTGCATGCCTGGTGCCTGTGGAGACCAGAAGAGTGTCAGATTCTCTGAAACTGGAATTACAAATGTTTGTGAGCCACCATTTGGATTCTGGGAACCGAACCCAGCCTTCGGCAGGAGCAGCCAGTGTGCTCCTAACTGCTGAGCTATCTCCCTAGCCCCAGTTTCTTCTTTTTAAAAGCATGGCAACAGAAGCCAAGAATAATAGCGTTCACCTTTAATCCTAGCACTCAGGAGGCAGAGGCAGGCAGATCTCTGGACCTCTCTGACTTTGAGGCCAACCTGGTCTACATAGAATTCCAGGACAGCCTGGCCTGGACTACACAGAAAACCCTGTCTTGGAAAAGTTTCAGTAGAGGAGAGGAAGGGAGGGGAGAGAGATATCAGGTTATGGAATACCTCACCCAATCTCCTCAAAATGGGTGGATTAGTTACTTGGCATTGACATTTTCCTCTTCTTCCTCCTCCTCTTGTTTTTTAAAGATTTATTTATTATGTATACAACGTTCTGCCTGCATGTATGCCTGCGTGCCAGAAGAGGGCATCAGATCCCATTACAGATGATTGTGAGCCACCATGTGGTTGCTGGGAATTGAACTCAGGACCTCTAAAAGAGCAGCCAGTGCTCTTAACCTCTGAGCCATCTCTCCAGCCCTGGGCACTGACATTTGTTTAGCCCTGATTTTCAAGGATTTGGCTCATGGTCAGAAGGGCAGAGCAAAGGACTGTTCGCATCACGGCACATCATAAAACAGAGAAAAGGACACAGGAAGACACATCCCAAGGACAGACTTTCAATGACCCTCTTCCTCCAACCAGGCCCCACCTTCACCACCTCCAGGAATTAATTCCTTTTTATTATGAATTCATCAAAGGATTGGTTAATCCATGAGTTAGGTCAGAGCCCCATGATGCAACTGTCTCTGAAAATGCTGTAATAGGCATGTGTGAAGGTGTGCTTCACTGATCCCTGGGAAGGCTAATTCAGTTGTGTTAACAACAAAATTAGCCATCACACTAGGCAGAAAAAATACAAGAACCAAAATCAGCAAATAACCAGGACATGGAGACATACACTGTAATTCCAACACTTAGGATGGGGTTAAGGCCAGGCTGGGCTACTGAGACCCTAGGTCAAAATAGTTCAAGAATGGCAGTAACTTTTCATCTTAAGTCCTTAAATAAATCACCCTTACCTTAGGTCAGCCTGCAATCCCAGCACTTGGGAAGCAGAGGCAGGAGGATAAGTGGCTCAAGGCTAGCCTGGGCTATATGACACCTGTCATCTTAACATGACTTTGCCTAGATCAATGACATCACATCTCTATAAGCCAAACAAAAGGCAAGTTAGCAATGGCTCTGGCACAACTCTTCCCACATCTGTTACCCGTCAAAAGCGAGTATGAGAAACCAAGCCCTGCAATCCAGAACAGCATGTTAGATAAGTCTGTTATTCAGGTGCAAACCTGCAGAACTGGTACCAAAGGAACATTCTCATTCATTCCTCCACCCCCTTTTTGGTTTTTCGAGACAGGGTTTCTCTGTGTAGCCCAGGCTGTCCTGGAACTCACTCTGTAGTCCAGGCTGGCTTCAAACTCAGAAATCCGCCTGCCTCTGCCTCCCAAGTGCTGGGATTAAAGGCGTGCGCCACCACTGCTCCGCTCCCAAAGGAACATTCTTGAGAAACAATTTCAACCTTAGTCAACACCTAGCAACATACTAATTAATATCATTAATACAACTCCAAAACTTTTAAGCACGACATCAAATGTCTTCTGGTACTGCCAAAGGTGGTGGCTCACGCTTTTAATCCCAGCACTTGGGAGACAGATCCCTGTGAGTTTAAGGCCAGCCTGGTCTACAGAGAGTTCCAGGACACCTAGGGTTACAGAGAGAAATTCCGTCTGGAAAAGCAAACCAAACCAAAAGTTCCCTGGTATCTGAAAGAGTTTCCATTTATTGGGGGTTGGGGAGCTAACCCTGTTTTTTCTTTTGACAAGTGCTGGGGATCTAATGCATAGCAGGCAAGCACTCCCAGAGCTATCCCCAACCCAGTACATACTGAAACAAGGTTTCCTATGCACATCAGGCTAGCCTAGATCTCAGAGCTCCACAAGTCTGCCTACCAAGTACTGGGATTAACAGTGTGAGCCACAATGCTCAGCACCCCAACAAAAACTTTTGTTTTGTTTTGTTTTTGAGACAGGTTTTTACTACAAAGCCTTGGCTGACCTGAAACCTGAAATGGAGTCCAGGCTGGCCTTGAACTGTCTGTCTCAAATATCAAACAAAAAACTAACCAAAATCAAACTAACACTCAATGTGCAGTTATCCCTAGGTTATGAGGAATAAGTGAGTGTAGCAATCCTTATTCTTTTCTGTTACGACCTTTCTATTATGACTACTCAGCGTTTACCAGAAAGGAGGAAAAAAAAAAAAAAGAAAGAAAGAAAGAAAGAAAGAAAGAAAGAAAGAAAGAAAGAAAGAAATTACTTAAGGAAATAAACACATCAAAACTAGCCAGCACAGAAACTTTCAGTTTCCATGGTTTAAAATAGCATTTCTGTAAACCACACAGGCTGTGTGCAAAGTAGCATTTCTAGGGTTTCAGCTACTGCTGCTAGCTGCTACTTAAACATGCCTTCATTGAGGGCCCTTCCATTCTGTACAGGCTTTTACTCCACACCACCTACAGAAGTAAACTATGTTTCAAAAGTACTGAGACATTAATTTAATGTGAAGCTAAGTCCTAATAACTGTTTGAGGTCAGCCCAGCCCAGGCCAGCCCCCATCAAAGCATGGCCCTGAGCCTGCCTGGCTGCCACCGCACACTTGCTCTGCTTTCACGGCAACACAAGGGAAGATGGCCTCTAGTCTAACGTGAGTCATTGGATTACAACTGCTATAAGCAGACTAGACCTGTTAAAACCTAACACCTTTCCCAAGTGACTTGCGCACTAATGACGCTGATGAAAGATGGAGCTCCACGCCAGCGCTCCCTGTGTGGGACACACGCGGGACAATCCTTCCAGAGTGTAGGAAGGAAGCCGCATGACCATTTTTATTTCAATCCATTTTTTAGTGTTTTAAAAAATCTACACTTATTCTTGTGTACTTTGCCTACATGTCTATACATGTACCATGTGCATGCCTGGTGGCCAGAGAGGCCAGAAGAGGGCGTTAAATCCTGCTGAACTAGAGTTACTGATGGTTCAGCCAGTGTGGCTGCTGAGAATCAAATGTCTGTAAGAGTCCTCTGTAAAAGCAACAAGTGCTCTTACCGGTTACCTGTCTCTTGAACCCCACTTCCATTCATTCCAGTTCACCCTTCTCCCAAGCCCCACAGGGTTTCTCTGTGTAGCCCTGGCTGTCCAGGAACTTGACCTGTAGACCAAGCTCACCTTGAACTCAGAGATCTACCTGCCTCTGCCTCCTGAGTTCTAGGATTAAAAACAAGCACCGCCACTCGGCTTAGCTTACCTTTTCTTGATGTAATTTTGCATCTATTTATAATGTACACTATTAATGTATATAATGTAACCGATGAATAGTATATGCACATACATAATACCTACTAGCTGTGCACCATACTATGCTGTGTACCATGCTACATGTAACATACAACTGAATATACACACACATGTACAATACATAACACAGGCATTTAGGTATAAGGTACTGTGAGCAGGATCAGAAACACTTCACTTGTGGGGCTATAGTACACATAACATGAGAATAATAAATTTAGAACAGAAACCATCTCCACCTGCACATGTGATTAAAGTGGGACTCCAAGCCAAGAAACAGGATAGAAGAAACTAAAGTAAACAGACTGAAGGAAAGCTGAGAGGAAGGGACAAAAAGAAAAACTGGTTGTGGAGCTCAAACAAGACACCACTGGGACTTAAAAAAAAAAAAAAGACGATAATGTTTATTTTCATGATCCAATGAAAGGAAGTGACTCAAGTGTCTGGGGCGGATCCTGTTCCTGTCTGAGGGGTTCAGCCAGTGAACTAGACAAGCGACCCCCACTTAAAAATCAGCTCTTAAAATAGACACTAGGTTGTCAGGTTACATAGAGCCAACAGCACTAACCTGAAAAACAGGGTGCTGTTTACAGCTATTTAATACAGGCTTAACACTGTTGGAGTCTGGGTTTCTGTATGCTAATTTGGGTTGGGAAGAAAGTAAATACCAAATTTACTTAGAGAAGAACTTAGAGCTAGCCTAATTGTTCAAATGGTACCCTTCAAACCCCAGACTGGAGGAAGACAGAACACTCCCTAACCATACAATTATGATTCAGTCTGATAGCCCCTTTAATTCACTTAACATTTTTACAGACATCTGATGCCATGGGCTGGGCAGGGAGTGTGTGTAACCCAGTGGTAGCACTTTCCTGGCTGCCGTGAAGACAGGATGCAGGAAGAGAAACAGCTTCAAGCTCTGTCCACCTTAAGTCCTACTAACAAACTCAAAACTATTCCCCATCAGCTGGCAACTATAACTTGGGTAATCAAAATACACACACACACTTAAAAAAAACTTCAAAAGTGAAAAGTGGCAGGGCGGTGGTGGCGCACACCTTTAATCCCAGCACTTGGGAGGCAGAGACAGGCAAATTTCTGAGTTTGAGGCCAGCCTGATCTACAGAGTGAGTTCCAGGACAGCCAGGGCTATACAGAAAAACCCTGTCTCGAAAAAAAAAAAACAAAAAAAAAAAAAGAAAGAAAGAAAAAAGAAAAGAAAAGTGAAGTTGGGCATAATGCATTCTTGTAATCCCAGCAGTACTGGAGCCTGAAGCAGGAGGGCTTCTGTCTGAGGCTAGCCTTGGCCCCAATAGTTGAGACCTTGTCTTTAAAAAAAAAAAAAGCAGCTGGTCATGATGGCTCAGTGCCTTAAATGCAAACATTTGGAAGGCAGAGTCAATAGGGATCTCTGTGAGTTTAGATGGGTGCCAATGTGTTCTATATAGTGAGACCTGCCTTAGAAACCAACCAACCAACAAAAAACCCCAATCAATTCCAAGTCAAAGTCCCCATCCCCCACCACACACTAAACTCCTTGGTCCTAGCTTGCCCCTGCCACCAGTATGAGGTTGACCAACAAGAACCGGATCCTAGGTTTTTGTGGGTTAATTTTTCTATGGAAATTGGGGGGACTGTTTATTTCCAACTTTTTGCCAGACTGCATATGTGAGGGACACCTCCTTCCCTAAAATAGATCCTTCCAGAAAGAGCTGCATGCCAAGGTTCTAAAGTTCACATTGTGTAAAGGAATCATACTTCTGAACAAAATATTGCCACATGTTTACCATAAGTCAGGACAGAACAAGCAGTCGTTGGGAAATAGTTTTTGGAATTATTTCATAATTGCAGAAGGAAATAAAAATTTACATTCTGGGGCCTTGGGAGATGTCTATAATTTTCTGATGTTTACACTACACCCAGAGGGGTCCTCTTTGGTTAGAATCTTAAGAGATTTAGTGTAAAGGTTACAGAATAGCCCACCTATTGTTTGATGAAGTCTACTAAGGGCTCCAAAGCATTTTGAGGATATATTTTCTTTTTAAAACATAAGAAGGTTTGAACTCGCCACCGAGTCCCTCGGGGGTCTTCAGACAGTAGGCCATTTTCAACCTAAAATCCTTCGAAAGCACTGAGCTTTGAACTGACCCAACTGAACTGGGCCTAGAAAGGAGGAGGGCTTTGGCCTGAGAGAAGCAGACAGAGTTGACCTAACCATTACTTTAATATATATAATAAATTAACCAGAAACACAAGCCGTAGGGATTTCCAGAGACGTCAATGGCAGAGCGAGTCTCAAACTTTTCCCCCCTCACTTCCAACTGCAAATCTGCCTTCTCCCAGGTAAACTGCGCATATTGAAGCGGTCCTAATAAGCGAACCCAGGCCAGCGTCTTTCTCCCAGTGATCCAAACTGGTATTTCTGGTTGGAAAGGCAGGAGGTACGGGATGAGGACCCAGGGCTCCTGAAAGCCAGAAGGTGGGGAGGGCTGCCCGCCCGTGCACGTGCCCCTCTAGCTGCAGTGGGTGCATCTACCGGCGGCTGCAGGACTCGGCGCCCGCCGCCCCCCAGCTCCCCGGCCGCAGCGGCTGGAGGCCCCGCTCGCTGCCCCGGCGTACCTGGCTCTCGGCGGCGGGGATGCCGGACTCGAGCTCGCACAGCGCGCGGAAGTTGTGCAGCTCGAAGTCGGCGTCGACCTGGAGGGAAAAGGTCACCTCGGAGAGGTCCCTCCGCACACAGTACACGGTGAGCAGCATGGCCCGGGCCCGACCCGGCTCGGCTCGGCCCGGCCTGGGCACTGGACGGAGGGCAGCCGGCGACAGGAGGCCTGGCGGTAGCTGCGGGAGGGCGGCGGGCGCGGGCTGCTCGCTCGCTCGCTCCTTCCCTCCCTCACACGCGCGCAGTGACTCACTCGCTCCCGCCCTCAGCAGCCAGCGCGGCCGCCGCCACCCGCCTGCGAGGCCGTCTGCCTGCCGGCCTGCCTCCCACCGCTGCCGTCAAGCGCGCGGGCCGCCCGGCGCCCCGCCCCGTCGCAACGCGACGGCCGTAAAGCGCACCAGGCTGCGGCCGCCTTCGCGACGCTCGGGTGTGGGGCGGGGCTGGAGGAACTGGAGGGAGGAATGAGAATGCGGGAGTGGGGAAAAACCACGGTTGGTGGATTTAACACTTTTGAGCTCGGGAGTACAACAAGATCCCTATCCCAGCTATTCGTCCAACAGGCACCTACTGTGTGCGCTTGGCGTGCACATAAAAAAGGATGAGAGGCACGAATCCTCATCCTTGATCCTTCATCTGCTATGATAGACTTTAAACAAAGCTTGCTTTCTTTTTTTTTGTTTTTAAACAAAAACAGGATTTCTCTGTGTAGCCCTGGCTGTCCTGGAACTCACTCTGTAGACCAGGCTGGTTTCGAACTCAGAAATCCGCCTGCCTCTGCCTCCCAAGTGCTGGGATTAAAGGCGTGCGCCACCACTGCCCGGCTAGCATCTTCAACAAGTTTTAATGGACACTGTCAGGGATCGGGAGATGAAGATGTTATTAGGTAAAGCATGCACGATGCTTTCTAAAGCAGAGCAGGTCTGAGATGACCAGAGCAAGTTAGGCAGATACAGGAGGGTTTTCAAGAATCAGCTGAGGTGGAGTTTTGAATGATTGGAGATATATATATATATAATTTTAAGTGTATAGTGTTCTGCCTCTATGTCTGTACACCATGTGTCTGCTGATACCCTGGAGCCAGAAAAAGGTGTCTGATCCCCAGAAATTAAGAATTGTAGAAGGTTGTGAGTCACCATGGGAACCTGGATCTCCCGTGAGGACAAGCACTTTTAGTGGCTGAGCTTCTCTGGGATGTGTTTTCTACTGTGGCTCAGGTTCTTGGTTCCTGAGGAACTTATTTTTTCCAAACATGGCTATAACAATCGCCTCCACCCTGTGAGTTTTTCCTCCCACTGAGAAGTGCCATGTGGGGCTGGAGAGATCGTGCAGGAGTTGAGTGTTCTTCTTGTTCATTCAGAAGGTCTTGACTCAGTCCTTAGCGTTAATGTTGGGTGGTTTGCAACAGCCCAGAGATCCAGTGCCCTCCTCTTGCATCTTTGGGTACTGCATGAACTTGGTGCATGCACACACACAAAATAAATAAGTCTTAAATGAAAAGTGATATGCAAGGTAGGCATGATGGCCCATGCTTGTAATCCCAACACTCGGGAGCTAGACTCGAGAGGGCCGCCAGTTTTAGGCACCTGACCCTGTTATTGACACTGTATCTCAAGACGGGGCAGGAGCTGGGCTGTGTGGCTCAGTTCATAGAGTGCTTACCCAGCATGCATGAAGCCCTGGCTTCAACCTCCGGCATTACATACACTTAACCATGTACATGCCTATGATCCCAGCACTCTGGCAGGAGGATCAGAAGCTCCAGACCATTCTCAGCTAAAAAGAGAGTTTGAGACCAGTTTGACTCAGAAAAAAAAAAAAGTCCCTAAGTTTGAATTGTGACATAGGCTGACTCTGTGTAAGGAGCACTGTCTGATGGATTCTAAGTGCAGGTCTAAAGGACAACTCGGATTTAACTTGGTTCTCTTAGACAGTTCACTCTTGGGATCCAGTGAGGAAGCCCACATTCTCTCTCGAAGCAAGAAAACTATGGAGAAGAAAGACACATAGCTACTCCAGGCAACACCTTAGCTGAGGGCAAAGCTGCACACCAGGAAAACCTAGCAAGTGTCTGAGCTTAGAGCCTCCAGATGAACTCAGCCCTAGCCACTGAGCCATGGAAAGCCTTTGAGACTTTCCAGATGAGACTCCAGAGAACCATCTCCTCCATATGCTGTACTCTCTCTCTCTCTCTCTCTCTCTGAATTTCTGGCTTGCAGAATTTGTGACCATAATAAAAGGTCATTGAGAATTAAAACCACAAACAGGGACCACTCGCTTTGGTAGCTGTGGTGACTGTAAGTGCAGAAGTGGGCAGGGGGCCTCTGTAAATGAAGAGTCCTCACAAACTGTTAAAGGCTCATGTTCACTGGTGGCCTTTGGGGGACGTGACTGGAATATGAGAGTGTCAACCCCATCCTGGATTCACCCGCTGCGGGACTCACAGTTGGATGGATTTCCGGGAGATGGTGGGTGGGTGGTAGAAAGAAGGTGGGACTGATTGGATGACGTGGATCGGTGATGTCATGCCTATGAAGTGGATCGGTGATGTCATGCCTCTGAAGGGAATAGCTTGTCCCAGGTTTGTCTCACCCCCTTCCCTTCCTCCCCCCAGTTGCTTCCATCCCTTCCTTCTTCCCAGCTTTCTTTCAAGAAGGGAAAGCTGTCTCTGTCACATGCTACCACTGCCTCTGTGGTTTTCCACTTTACCGTATTCCCCATGCTAGTGGAGCAAATGGATCCAAACCCTTCTGACCATGAGCCAAAAGGAACTGTTCCTCCTTTAAGTTGGCATCTCCAGGTAATTGGTCACAAAAATCAAAAGTTCACTTCTTAAAGCCAGGTGTGGTGGCACCTACCATTAGCTCCAGCACTTGGGAGTCAGTGGCAGGTGGATCTCTGTGAGTTCCAGGACAGCCTAGGCTACATACTGAGACTCGGAGTTTTTTGTTTATATTGTATTTACATATGAGTGTTTTGCCTGAAGCTATGTATGTGCACTGCATTTAGGCCTTGTGCCCTTAGAGGTCAGATGAGGAAGTCAGAGGCCCTGGAACTGGAGTAACAGATTGTCATCATGTGGGTGCTGGAAATTGAATCCAGGTCCTCTGTAAAAACGAGAATTGTTGGTTGGTTGGTTGGTTGGGTTTTTTTTGTTTTTGTTTTTTTTGTTTTGTTTTTCGAGACAGGGTTTCTCTGTGTAGCCCTGGCTGTCCTGGAACTCACTATGTAGACCAGGCTGGCCTCGAACTCAGAAATCCACCTGCCTCTGCCTCCCAAGTGCTGGGATTAAAGGCGTGCGCCACCACTGCCAGGCTGTTTGTTTGTTTTGAAACAGGGTCTACCTACAGAGCCCTGGATATATTAGGAGAACAAGTATTCTTTAACTGCTGAGCCCACAAAATAAATCTTAAAAATAAAAAAGTCAGTCAGTCACCAAAAAGATATATGGTTTGATTCTAAGTATATAAAATATCTGAGAATGAAAATCAGCAGAGATAGAAAACATACCTGTGGCTGCTAGGGGCTGAAAGGAAGAGACACTACTTGTGTCGTGACTGCTGGTAGGTACAGAGCTGCTTTGTGTGTGTGTGGGGGGGGTGATGATCAGATTCATTGTGGTGAAGATCAGTTAACTCTACTGAGCTGAGCTGGCTTGAGGGTGTGCTCCTGTAATCTCAGCACTAAAGAGGCTAAAGGGGGGGGGGAGTGGCAAGTTCAAGGCCAGCCTGCTTCCATAGGAAAACCCTATCTCAACCCGGCATCATGGCACAGGCCTTTAGCCCTAGCACTTGTGAGGCAGAGGCATGGGATCTCTGAGTTTGAGACCAGTCTGATCTTGGAGTTTCAAGACAGCCTGTGTTGAAAAACAAAAACAAAACAAAAAAGTCGAATCCAGGAGCACAGAGTTCTCCCAGCTCCTCCCAGTCAACTCAGTTCCTCTCATACCTCGCCCCATTTGGACTCTAGACTCTAGTCAGTTCCCTCTTGGGATCTGATACAGAGTGTGGACTTTGTCCCCTCACCTAAAAGGCAGATTTTGCACTTTCATCACCTGCCATCCAAAACGCCTGGAGACATTTCAGTCCTCCATTGTAACTTAGGCTGGAGTGAGGTGAAAGGTTAGAAGAGGGAGTCCCAGAACCTGACTCCAGCATAACAGGGCTTACCACAAAAAAAACGACCCATTAATTGATCAGGGCTGTCGAGCACCTTTCAAATGGTCGCTACATTTACTGAAAGCTCCCTGTGTGCCAAGAAGCCTTCTGGGTAATTTGTGTCAAGTTACTGAAATCCTATGACATATTTATTACCTTCATTTTACAGATGAGGAAGAGGCGAGGGAGGGAGGGAGGGGTCAATCACTCACCTAAGGATACAAAAGCATCGACAGGCAGCTCTAGGAGGCAAAACAGGTAATCTGACTTGAGCCTACATACATTTTTTGAGACAAGACCTATGTAGTCTAGGTTTACCTGAAACTCTCACTCCTCCTGCCTCAGCTTCCAAAGTGCTGGTATTAGAGGCATGAGCTCCATGCCTGTCTGAGCCTATAGTCTGTTTCAGGAGCATTTGTGCCACCCGGCCCAGGAAGCCTACAGTCTTTTGTTTTGTTTTGTTTTGTTTTGTTTTTCGAGACAGGGTTTCTTTGTGTAGTTCTGGCTGTCCTGGAACTCAATTCTGTAGACCAGGCTGGCCTCAAACTCAGAAATCCGCCTGCCTCTGCCTCCCAAGTGCTGGGATTAAAGGCGTGAGCCACCACCACCCTGTGGAAGCCTACAGTTTTAAGCACTCTGTTAAGGTGCCTCCTATGGATCTTTATTCTTCAAAATGTTCCCAGAAAGCTTCATTTACATTTCGTGAGAGGAAACGGAGGCCGGGGGACTTTACTTCCCTAAATACACACAGTTAGTGACTGGGAGACTTTTCAGATTGGAAGAAGCTAAGAATCTAAAGTCTGGAGAGATGACTCAGGGGTTAGGGTCCTGCTGAGGGCCAAGTTCAGCTCCCAGAACCCATGAGGGGGCCAGAGAATAACAGCCTGCAACTGGCTGGAATAGCTCACCACAGCCTGTAACTCCAGCTCTGGGGAATCTGAAATCTTCTTCTGGACTTCATGGGCACCTACTCACATTCCCACACACAACTATGAAGTTAATAATAAAAAGTAATGACCTACATTTCTCTTTCTTCCCTTAGCTGGGGCACAGGCACTCTGCCTACACCTGCCAGAGTGCTGGGCTCCACACCCCCTCGGTTACTTCATGGTCCCTGCCAACAAGGTTCCTACCTCCTCCTCAGTTCCCCGCTGATTCCTCTCTGCCTGAAACGGCCAACCAGCTAAAAGGTATCGACTCCGATTTTATTGTTTTGATTTCAGAGATACACTTATGTATGCGTGCGTTGTAATATGTTGGTGGATGTGCTCAGTACAAGCAATGCCTGTGGAGGTGAGAGGGTAACTAGGGGACTCAGTTTCCTCTCCCATCATGTGGGTCCAGGGTTGACAAACTCAGGTCCTCAGGGTTAGTAGGAAGCACCTTTACCTGCTGAGCTTTTTTTTTCTTTTTTTTTCTTTTTCTCCTGAGACAGGGTTTCTCTGTGTAGCCCTGGCTGTCCTGGAACTCACTATGTAGACCAGGTTGGCCTCGAACTCAGAAATCCACCTGCCTCTGCCTCCCAAATGCTGGGATTAAAGGCATGTGCCACTACTGCCCAGCCCTGCTGAGCTATCTTACCAGCCTGTTTTATTTTTTTCCTGTTGGATTGTTTTTGTTTTGTTTTTCAAGACATGGTATCTCTGTGTAGCCCTGGCTGCCTTGGAACTCACTATGTAGACTAGGCTGGCCTCGAACTCACAGGGATCCACCTGTCTCTGCTGTCTCTACCTCCCCAGTGCTGGGATTAAAAGTGAGTATCGCCAGCCTGATGCATCCAGATTTTAATGTGGGCTCTGGGCATCCAACTTCTTCAGTCGGCTTGCACATCTAGGGACTTTATCCATTGGACCATCATCCTGGCATATGTTGATTGATTTTGAAATGCCTATATTGTAAATACTTTTTCTTTTGAGGCCGGGTCTCTCACTATATAGCCCTGGCTATCTAGACCAGGCTAGCCTCCTACTCACCAATGTCTGCCTTCCTCTGCTTCTCCAGGGCTGGGATTAAAGTCCCTTGCTATTCTCAAACAAAACAAAATAAAAAACAAATGAAGTCTCTTGCTATCATGCCCAGCCTTGTAAATACTTTTTTTTTTTTTTGATACTTTTGAACTCTTACTTTTCCTCTAGGGAATTATACATAGCATTCTTTAAAATGTCTCCTTAAAGCTGCATCTCCAAGGAGCTTGCCATGAATTCTTATCATTCCCTGCCTAGGTTGCTCAAAGCAGAGCTTTATTCCTCTTAACTTCCAGCTTGTCAAGTGAGAGCAGAGAGGCCTTAATTTGGGAGGGGGGTTGCTGAGGAGGAGGTTGTTTGCTGTTGTCGAGACAGGGTCTCACTGTATAACTCTGGTTGTCCTCAAACTCACTATGTAGACCAGGCTGGCTTTGAACTCAGCCTCTCCAGTGCTTTTACACAAAACCTTCCTGTTTTTTTGGCCATGATCACGTGCACTTGTGTAAGGAGCCAGCAGCTCCCTCACGGACTCCAGTTCCACCACATTCTAAGCGACCTTCTCTCCGGTGCACCTGTACTCTGGAGTGTGGAAAGATTTCAGGTGAACTTTGCTTCTCTCTAATAGCAGGCACATCATCTGCCTAACTCCATTATTTAGAGCTAGAGATCGATAATTTTAAATGTAAGAGTCAGCCCTGGGCAAAACTACAAAATGGGTCAAAGTTCATCTGTGGCAATCTCGACCTCCTTGCTCCTTCCTCTGCTCCTGGACGCTCCTCATTTGCTTCTTCTTGTTCTCTTCTGCTCTTAAGGTCCTTTTCCAAAACCTGTTCTTGCTCGGTGTGGTAGAACATGCCTTTAATCCCAGCACTCGGGAGGGAGAGGCAAACTCCATTAGTTTGAAGCCAGCCTGGTCTACATAGGGAGTTCCAGGCCAGCTAGGGATACACAGAGACCTTGCCTCAAAAACAAATAAAAAATGTGTCTTTAGAAAGGATCAGAACCAACCCTAATATTTTTATGGCTCCTGAAAAATTGTTTTTTTTTTCTTTAGGTTTTTTGAATTTTGATACGGAATAAAAGTATCAGTTCCAGGTTGCAGATCTGTAGGAAGAGGCTCTGGGGAAACTTCTGACTTGCTGCTGACACCTGAACACTTACTTCCAGATCCCCACATCTCAGAAAAAAAAAAAATTCTTTCTCTTCCAGTAACATTTTGCTACGAAGTGTGGTGTGGCACTAGGCCATAATCCCAGAACTCAAGAGACAGAGGAGAGGCAGGAGGATCACAGATTTGAAACCAACCTGGTTTGAAGCTTCAGGCTAAGTTCTAAGACAGCCAGAGCTACAGTTCAACAGTATCTCAGAAAACAAAGAGGAGATAACGCCACCCAAGTCCTTGGAAAATGGATTATAAGTGTGAAGGAATTCCAAAGCCAAGGCTATAAAGAAATGTGAAGGAATTCCAAAGCCAAGGCTATAAATAAGTGTGAAGGAATTCCAAAGCCAAGGCTATAAAGAAGCCAGGCATGCCAGCCAACTCAAACCTCTAATTCCAGTATTCTGGAGGTGGAGCAAGCTTGTTATGAGTCCAAGGCTAGCCTGGGCTCCAAAATGAATTCCAAGCCATCTTGGACCACAGAGATAGGGGAGAGCCTGCTTTTTATAGAGCCAAAGCTCAAAACTGTTGAAGAGTATAAACACACAACTTTGAAGATACAAAGTCATTAAAAAGTCTCCTTGGTGGGCACTACCAATACTTTGGGTACAATAAAAGGTTTTTAGTTACTTGGGATAACTTAACAGAACTGTTTTCTACATTTGTTTTTGAGACAGTCTTATGTGGTCTTGGCTAGCTTCAAAGTCAGCTTAAGGCTCAGGAGGGCCTTGAACTTATCGTTTTCCTTCCCACACACTTGGACCACAGGTTTACCCTCTTCAGCATAGGAACCGAACTTACTACTAATCAAGTTTCGTCTAAAGATGTATTCATTTTGTGTGTATGGATATTTTGCCTACAGGCATTGATAATATGTACAGCCTACGCATGCCTGATGGGTTGGATCCCCTGGAACTGGAGTTATACACAGTTGTGAGCTGTCATGTGGGTGCTACGAATTAAAACCCGAGTTCCCTAGAGGATCAGACAGTTCTCTTAACCGCTGAGCCATCTCTCCAGCCTCCAGAAGATAGGGTTAGGAGACAGTTATTTCTATGTACCCTTGACTGGCCTGCTATTCACGATGTAACCTAGGTTGGCACTGAACTCACTTCCTGCCTCAGCCTCCTGAGATTACAGGCGTGGTCCCTTCCACTCCTGGCTAGAACTTCTTGAGAGTAGTACTTTTATTTCTCCCAAAAGTATTTAACTACGGCACGCCCTCACTTGCTGGAGGGAAGTGGGTCAGCGAGGATGTTATCGGCCTGGGGTTGTGGTACAAGCTTGTAATCCCAGAACTGGGAAGCTGGATACTAGAGAGTTCAGGCCTAACCTGGACTACGTGATCCTTCCAGTCCATGAGTGTTTGGAGCTTGCTCCTTCCCCATTATCTTCAACCCCTTTCACATTAGTCACTATGTATGTTGGTCTGCAAAATATCGGACAGCCAGGTAGGAACAGTTATGAACCAGAGTCACTCCAAAAAATTAATCAGGGATGAGGTGTAATGACATATGGCAGCACTGGGGAGATCTTGACAGGATCTGGGGTTTGAAGGCAGCTTGCGTTACAACCAAAGCCTCGTCTCAAATAATTAAATACATAAAAGCATGATTCAGAAGTAAACTTCTGAAGTGTAGCAACTGCCCTAGCAGGCTGTACGCCTGGTTACAGCCGCTTTTACAGGCAGAAAGAACTTCGCATCCTTAAAGTTCACTCTTCGCTACGAAATTCTTCTGGCGTCAACCCGTTGCTAAGAACTTTCTCTTCCTTGGGAAGACAGGCTTTAATCTGAAATCGGCCACGTTTCCTATAGAATCGCTTCCCACGCAGACTCACGAATAGTCTTTGAAACGCACTTGGGGATCTCCCTGGTCACCTCTGGCCAGAAAGCGCTGGTGCGAAAGGGCCTTCGTCCCCAACGCGCCTGCGTAGCGGCACAGCGTGTGGCGCACCGGCGTAATGGGCGTGTACGTCTAACCACGTGACTCTCTAGCCAATGCCTACGTCTGCGAGTATGAGGCTGGGTTGCTAGGTGACCGTGGCCCGGGCAGATGCTGCGGAAGAAGTAAGGGTCGGCCTCAGCCCTGCAGAGCGAAGCTTCTCGTGCTGCTGCTCTCCCTTCAGGCTTGGAACCCACGCGTCTCCTCCTCATGGTCTGGAAAGCTCTGGATACTGAGAGACGCAGCAGGGGTGTGTCTGGCCTGCACCCACTTAGGCACTTTCTCTCCTGCTTTAGAGAAAGGGTCAGATCCCACGTGATGCAGGGTGTAACCGAGTCCTGGTCATAGCTTCCCAAAGTTTCCCTACGCTTTGGTTAGGGGCTGGTTGTTCACGCTTGTCCGAATCAGGTTTTGTCATGAATGCTTGTTATGAAGGATAACTAGTTCAAGAATAATAATTTCATTTAAAAAGACAAGAGCGAAGCTGCTGAGGGCGTGCCTCAGTGATACAACGCTTGCCTAGAATTCTCTAGGTCCCTTGGTTGGATCTCGAGTAACAACAAAAGACTTCCAGAAGGAAAAAGATGCAATTACTTAAAAAATAAAATTTTGCACCTTTCGAGGCAAGTGCTGGGATTACAGCATGTTCCAGCACGCCAAGTGTTTGCTGCAGATGGAATCCAGGCCTTCAATTCTTGGACATCAATGCTCTTCTTGGAAGTCTGGGGAGATAGAGCGCTTGCCTAGCATGCAAGAAGGTCCTGGGTTCGATCCCTAGAGCAGCATAAACTGGGCATTCATCTGTAAGTGTACTATTCTGTGGGTCTCAGTAGGCATTCAGGCAAACCTCTGCTACAAAGCCAGTTTAGGATTGCCCAGGGTTATATGAGATTCCGTCTCAAAAAACCAACAAGCAGGTCATGATGGCGCAGGCCCTTAATCTGTGTACTCCAAAGGCAGAGGCAAGCTGATCTCTGTAAGTTGGAGGACAGCCATAGAGAGTTGTAGGACAGCCAGACCTACATAGAGAGATCCTGTTTCAAGAACACAAAAGTATGATAACTAAAACCTCAAACTAATGGAGGCTGGAGAGATGGCTTAGCAATTTCTGAATTGCTGAAGAAACAAGCACTAGCTGTTTATACAGAGGACCTAGGTTCAGTTCCCCGTACCTACATCAGGTGACCTTCTGGCCTTCAAGGGTACCTTCATGCCCATGGTACACCTAAACTCAACACATGTATAAATGCAAAATTTTAAAATATAATAATAGTCAGGTGGTGACGACACACACTTTTAATCCTAGTACTTGGGAGGCAGAGGCAGGTGGACTTCTGTGGTTGAGGTCAGTCTGTCTACATAGTGAGTTCCAGGATGTCCAAGACTACACAGAGAAACCCTGTCTTGAGCCCCCCACCCCACACCTCCCAAGCAAGTGTTCAATATCAGGTTTTTTTTCCCAGATAGATGCTTAATACTAAAAGAGTATTTCTAGATCTTGGATGTCTGGTCTGTGTGTCTGTGTAGAGTTCTCTCCTCCCTGGCCTTTTGTCCTTTGAATTGGAGCTGCCCATTTCTGCCTGGCCTCCCAGCTTTCTGTTCCTCTAAAGCAGTGGCTCTCAGCCTTCCTAATGCTGAGCCCCTTTAATACAGTTCCCCATGTTATAGTCACCCCCAGCCATGAAATTGTTTGTTGTTTCTTCATAGCTGTGATTTTGCTACTGTTAAGAATTGTAATGTAAATATCCAAAATGTAGGGTATATGATATGCGATCCCCCAAGGGGATAGCGATCCCACAGCTTGAGAACCACGGATCTAAGGCATTTCATTGAGCTTGGCCTCCGTTTTCTTTCTCTGAATTCTATGCTGGAAACCCTGAAAATGGGGAGCTGGGGAAATAGCCAGGATCCTCTTATTTGTCTTTTTCCCAAATGTTCCTGTCCTCTGTGGCCTGTGGCCTGACTATACTTGGGTTTTGGTTGTTCTAGGCAAAAGGGAACAAAAAGCAAATCAACATTTTCTCTCTCTTTCTCTGTCTGTCTGCCTGTCTGTCTTCCCCCCGCTCTGTGTGTGTGTCTCTCTCTCTGTCTCTCTCTCTTTACACACAGACACACAGACACACACACACACAGAGGGAGGGGGAATCTCACCTTGTCGCTCTGGCTGGCCTAGAACTCAGAGACTCACTGTCCCCTGCCTCCCACTGCTGGGATTAAAGGCATGAACCACCATGCCTGATCCAAACCATTTTCCCTATCTAGATTTCTGGAAGCAAAAGTTCAAATATTATACCAATTTAAGGCCATTTTTAACCACCCCATATGCCTGAGTATTAAAAAGTTTTGGAGCTAGAGAAATGACTCAGGAGTCAAGAACACTAGCTGCTCTTACAGAAGAAGAACCCAAGTTCTCAGTGGCTTACAACTGTCTGTAACTCCAATTCCAGGAGAGCCAATGACCTCTCCTGGGTATCACCAGATGGGCAGTGGTGGCACATGCCTTTGATTCCAACACTCAGGAAACAGAGTCAGGCAAATCTCTGAGTTCAAGACCATCCTGGTCTATAGTTTGAAGTCCAGGACAGCCAGAGCTATACAGAGAAACCTTGTCTCAAAAAACAAACAAACAAGTAGTTCATAGGCAAACACGCAGGCAACATGTCCATACATGTAAATAACTAAATACACATTAAAGCCCCTTTTAAGTTAGACTATGTCTTGCTGAGCTTACAGCCAATTACTCCTGGGGGAGAGAGCAATTACAGGGCTTCTTATCCTCGACAGACTTAACCAACACCTGGCACTCGGCTGACACTTGGGCTCTGTGGATAAACTATTTTGAGCAAACAGCTGTTGAGCAGCTTGGGGTGTTTTCATCCCGAGTTTGTTGACAGGCAACTCCTTCCTGACAGCCGCAGATGTAAGGCAGGCAAAATGGCCGTGTCTGAACCTTGTAACTCACGCCTGTAATTATCTATGAAAACACCCTTTAAAGAACAGTTCAAAGCTAGAGCAATTGCCCTACATGCACAAAGCCCTGGGTTTGATCCCCAGTACCTCAGAACATACAGAATGACGTTATTTCAGCAGATGAGGGACATTGGCTACACAGGAGGATTGCTTGAGCCCAGGAATTTCAGATATATGTGTTCAGTGTAGACAGATTCCATGTCAAAGACTCTTAACGCCAGAATGTAGGTGGTCACCAGTTCGGGTGTCAGGATGAAATCAGATGTCTCAGGTCTTTCTTGGGTGGTTTTGGAGGTTTGCATCTCCCTGCTGTAGGGGCTTTCCAGAAGCTGGCTCAGGAACACTGTTACCTCTGATAAGAGGCTTTGCGTTCTGCTTCATTTTACCTGTCTGGAAATAGAAAAGAGGGCTTGAGCTTGCCCAGTGAATGCTCTCCCACTTGGCTGCTGTTTGAAGGGAGCCTGTATAACCTATGCTAACAGTAGCCTACACCATGAGAGCGATTGAATGCTTGAAGGAGACCCTGTCCACTGCTCTGGGTCCACCCTTCTTTTCTGGTAGATGATGATGCAGAAGATCTTGTATTCCTTCCCAGTCTGATTCCAACAATGTTGAATTCTGATGCTCTTTTCCCATCACTGGTTGGGTGTTCCCTGTATGTAAGTGTATGCTCCCTCACTTTCTCCTGATCTAGGAAGCTCATTGTAGACTAGACAGTGAAGAGGAGGCCA